ATGTGGTTACTGGAGCAACAGGACTTTTGGAGGACCAGGCCGGAGCCTGCGGCTGCTGGGCTGCTGTGTGTGAAGGCCTGTCGCTCTGTGGCTCTGTGCCCAGCCACCACTCCGGAAAATTCCTCGCTAAGGGTCAGCAGTGGAGAAATAGTCAAAGCCATATACAGCCATTTTACTAACTGCACCGTTAAATGTTACCTCGTTAAATGCGTTTGCTGAGGAATGCAAGTCGAGGGATGCACATTTATGTGGTTCAACATTATGAATAAATCTCGCATTTGTCTTTTCTTGCTGACAAACATTAGACTAAAAACTAAATCAGAGGAATTGCATTTGGTTTGTGATTTGTGTGAGAAACGCTGCAAAAAACGACTGTGTGGTCTGTTGATTTTGCTCATCTGGCACTGCGTCATCTGCTTTATAAGACTTTCAGTCTGTTAATGGGAGGCTTTGTTGAGCTTGATGTTACACACACTTAACAAAACATTGGCATTTGCCATTTATAAGAGCCCTTAGAAGTGCTGTAAGGTTTCCCTAGCTAACAAAGGCTGCCAAAGGCCACCAGTGCATTTTCAAATATTATTTAAACCAAAAACGCTTGTTCTGACAGATGCCAACAAATGTGCAACATGATGTAAACAATGGATCCAAAAGTAACATCTCATATAGAGGGTTTACCCAATTCTTTTTATTTGCTGTTAATTTATCCAATCCTTCCATAAGATGACATTTACTTAAGTAGAGCCTTAAAAAAGATTTATAGCTGAAACTGTGGTCCTTGTGGATTCATATAACTCAAGTATACTGCAGCTGAGTAAAAAAGGACTGTTGTAAGTGTATTATTTTTGCTAAGGCTTGAGATTATTAATGTGTAAATAATATTTATTTGGGACAGATTGATTGTTTTGCTTCATAACAGACCATCATTCAAGGCCATGAATATTAATTTTGTTTTGCATGTATATTTTTTTTCTTGACTTTCGAAGTGCTAGAAGACATTGACTTGCATGTAGGCATCACAAAGTATATTGGTATCAGTGAAATATCTTCTTTCATGCTTTAATGATGAAAAATTCAACTACATCTTGGATGACTTGAGGATACGTCAATTAAATCAAATTTGTTTTTTAATTAATTTCTTGTTTAACCTATATGTAGCCTCACACAGAATCTGCGTGAGCACAAATCCTCAGATTTCTAACTCATCATTGAGTCTATGCATTGAACATGAACAACACATCTACAGCATTTATTAATCATAATTGAACATTTACTAATGCATTATTAACATCCAAGTCCATGCTTGTTAACATTAGTTAATGCACCATGAGTTAACATGAACTAACAATGAACTACTGTATTTTCATTAACTAACGTTAACTAACATGAACAAATACAGTAGTAAATGTATTGTTCATTGTTTGTTCATGTTAGTAAATGCATTAATTAACATTAACTAATGAACCTTATTGTAAAGTGTGACCTGTAAATGTGTGTAATATTAAATATTTATTCTGTTTTTAAATTAATATCAGTAATATCATCGGGATAATATAGTAATATTAAATGTTCATTTGATTTATTTACAATGCAGTTTGTAAAGTAATATTTTCTGTCTTTTAGTAGATACATTATATGAGAGACTAGCTTTGTTTATCAAATGTGTGGATCTAATTGGATTTGCATTGCAAACATTAAATAACAGTTAAAAACATTTTTTTTAAATTTCATATATTAGGGTTGTATTTATAATACTCCCAAAATAATTCCGCATAAATCCACAAATTCTCTGCAGAAAAAGAAAAAAAAAATGTCTGCAGATTCTGTCTGGCCCTGGACTCCTAATGACATATAGCCTAATGACACTATAATGTTCACAGCGACCAAAGCTTAATTCCTGGCCCGAGGTTCTTCCTATTTCTTTCTGCTCCTGACAATTCCCTGTCAATACTGTCCTATCCATTAAAAGATTTTTAAAAATCTCATTGTGAACTTTCTGGAGTGTGACTGGGGTTATTACGATAATTTGTAATAATATTTGTATGACTTTTTAATGTCAATGAAGTACTGTAGTTCTTTGCTCTATAAGTGGTTAACTATTTAAATTTATATTTATTTAGAATTGTATTTTATAATTATTTTATTTATAACTTAATATAAATATTACAGTAGTATATATTTAAAGGTAAAGTTGAATTGAGTGCTTGCCAAAGCAAAGTATTTTGGGTGCCAGATGTGTCCACCGGTTGTACCCATTCAAAATCCTTCTTTCTAAAGGGCCCTTTCAAGTGGTCATTTTTAAAACTTTGGTTTGGAATGAGTCCGAAGTTCACCCCCGGGGGGAATATATCCCGTTTGGAATACATTGAATGAGTGACATGGGCCTAATGCGTGCCACCAGCCCACCAAAAGATTTCCAAATGTTTTTTTAAACTAAAAACATTTGTTCTGACAGATCCCAACAGATGAGCAACATGAGGTAAACTACTGTTCAAACAGTACCATCTGATATTAAGCAAAGGTCAAACCAATGCTTAGCAGGAGTCCTACAGCCCGCAGTTGTTTGCTCTTCATAAAGTTCAACTGAAATATCCTTTCCAAAACTAAATAAAATAAAATAAATAATAATAATAATAAAAGTTCCTTTGAATTACATTTATTCTTTTAGCAGAAGCTTTCATCCAAACCCGCATATAAATATTAAAAGAAGCACTGCAAAGACAAAATAACTACATTATAAATAATTATACATATACACTGCAATATATATAGGAGGCAGAATTTTTGTGTCTTCAACTGTATCTTACAATACCTCCTTTATACTGAATATGAACAAAGTATATATTACAAGTTGTAATTAACTCAGAGGTTTATACCTCAGACTCTATCAATTAACTTTAATAATGCCAAAGCTGTTTACATTCAGGTAAAATTAGGGATGGAAAACATGAGGAGACCTGGAAACATTTATTGAGCCATATGTTTAGCAAATGTTTTATCTCATGGAAAAATTAGACAGGAACAAAACCAACAAAAAGAGCATCAGGGTCAAAACACGGTTACGAATATACATTCACTCGGTCTCTTGATGATTGTGGTCATGATGCTATTTTGTTTGCCCTGTGGTTTATTAACTCCCTGACTGATATTTCCTGTTGGTTGGCAAAAAATATAGCAGATTCCACTGCGAGGCACTTTACCTTCCTGTATAAATTCTCACTTGGAAACATCCTTCCTGCTGCTACTTTAAAAGTCTAAAACAACTTCTATAGGTTGAGATGGCAGTGTTTTTGCAGGACTGCATGTGGTGTTCTTGTGTGGTCCAGCTAAGTGTGGGGTACAGCAGCTGTACCTGAAGCGGGACTGGGCCAGGGTGATGGGTGAACATGGTCAACATTAAGGTAGTAATCCTGACTGACAAGAATAATATATGGGAAAAGAAGTGAAACATGTACAGCACTGAAAAGACTGGCATGTAAAATGAATAGGCTTACAGTAGCCACTGCTCTACAAATCCTAGTACTTGGCTCCCTCTCATGGTCAAAACATGTTTTAAAACTGCCCATAGTAAATTGTTATCAATGAACTGCCAACTTATCCAGCACATTATTGTGTGTACACTTCCAGCCGCAACCCATCCCTGGGAAATACACTTTTAAACCATGCAAACATGGGGAGAACATGCAAACTCACACAGAAATGCACACTGACCCAGCCGAGGCTCGAACCAGCGACCTTCTTGCTGTGAGGCTACCTACTGCGCCACTGTGCTGCCCTTTTTGAAAGTCTCTTCAAAATATTTTGACCAGTATAAGGATTAAACTAAAGCACACAATTATACAGTTATATAAATATACATGCACAATTATTAGCACACTTCTGAAATGTTATTCTTTTGACAATATTTCAGAGTATGGAATTTTTTTACAGCATTTTCTATGAAACTGGCTGGAATACAAGAAGTTTTAAAACTATAAACACAATATTTTTAGGTCAATATTATTTAGCCCCTTTCAGAAATTATTATTTTTTTGGTTGTCCACAGAATGAACCAGTGTTGTTCAGCTTTCACTTAACCTGATTAGCTTACTTAAGCCTTTTTAATTGCATTTTTAAGCTGAATACTAGTACACTACCAGACAGAAGTCTAAGTTTTAGGAACAACAAACACCTTCTAGTTGATCATTTGGTATCAGAAGTGGCTTATATGAGGCAAAGGCCTTTAGATTATGCTTAGTGTAACCATATAAAATATGATCATGCCTTGATTTTAAATTACTTAATTAGGACAGTGAAGTCTGACTTTGCTGAGACAAAAGTCTTGTTATTTAACATAAATAATGTACAGTATAGAATATAAAGTCATGGTACAATGGAAAAGAATTATATTGTGTTTGACTCCCATGAGCTTGGGCAACTGCATCCATACATCTTTGCAATGACTCCAATAACTTATTAATAAAGTCATCTGGAATGGCAAAGAAAACCTTCTTGCAGGACTCCCAGTGTTCATCAAGAGTCTTTGAATTAATTTGTAATGCCTCCTCCATCTTACCCCAGACATGCTCAATAATGACTGGTGATTGTCAATAATGACAATAATGTCTGGTGATTGGGCTGGTCAATCCTGGAGCACCTTGACCCTCTTTGCTTGCAGGACCTTTAATGTGGAGGCTGAAGTATGATCGATATCTCGCTGAAGAATTTGCCCTCTAATGTGGTTTTTAATGCAATGAGCAGTACATGACTGATTTCTTTGAGAATCTTGGGTCCATGCGGGTTCCAACAGGTTTTCTGCAGTATTTGTGATGATTGGGATGCAGTTCAACAGATGAATCATCCGCAAAATGTACTTTCTGCCACTTTTCCAAATGATCAACCAGAAGTCTAGTTATTATTTGTTGCTCTTACAACTGGGATTGAGAACAATACTTTTGTCAGGTAGTATGTATATAATAAAACGAAAATACCTGAATAGCAATAAAAAGACTGAGATCTAATTGATTAAAATGCAGGACAAGGTTTAATCCACCTAGTAGATGTCTATTTCTTCACCTTTTTTTCACAAAGGGAGTACAGGAGCTCTATCTGTTCAGCATACTCGAAACCCTGGCTAGAAAAAGAAGATACAGTGAAAATACGTGTCAGTACTGTTTGTTCATTTGATTTACCATAATATACTCTTTTCCCAACATGACACTTACCGACCGGGAGTTTCTAGAATCAGAGGGATATTATCCAGTCGAGGCTCGTTTACAATTTCTCGGAAAGCTGTAATACCTATCTGGCCATGTCCAATGTCTTCATGGCGATCCAGGTGGGAGCCTAATTTCCCTTTAGAGGAACATTTGTACAATCTTATAAGTGGGATATCCCCAAGATCGTTATTATACTATAAGTAGTAAATAGGTATACAGGTTATAGCTACTGGTTAGCAAACACCCTTTTGAAGGCAAGTAAAAGCTTTAAATCTCATTTACTGCTAATGAATTTTATGTTGTAGAATAAAATGTCAAATAAAAACTTACACAAACCTCACTTCCAACACCAAAACCCAATTCAAAGTAAAAAATAAGTCAAATTAAGAGCATAGTGAAGTATAGTCTATACAATTACAAATGATAAATTGCTTGTTTATGGGTTTTAAGTGTAACTTAGTTAATTACTTAATATGTTTTAAATAAATGTTTCATACCTTTAGAGTCGTTTAAGTGAACAGCTCTTAAATAATGCAGCCCAACCACGCGGTCAAATTCATCAAGCATATTGTTCACTCCTCCCGGTGGTGAAATGTCATAGCCTAAATGGAAAAATTAACATCTCAAATACTGTTCATTCAATCAGCTGTGTTAAAATAAAAAATAATAATAATTTTGTGTACACTATTTTGATGGTCCCATTTAGAAATTCTGTTGGTTTTAGGTAGATTTACTACATCAGCTTACTCTCATTAAATAGCTAGTTGGCATGCAGTTGCCAAGGTTTCAGTGTAAAATTATTTTACATTTTGGCATAATAAAATGGCATACCATTTCCCATTTCTCTCAGGCTTGCAACTTTTTTCTTTTTTTAAAGCTGAATTTTATGATTGGTGTTTTGATATTAACTCCATACATGTGTGAAATATACATGTACATAAACTGTAGATATTCATGCATTGAACAATTGTCAACTGCTATTGTTTTTAATTTTGTTATATAAATACAATTTGATTTCATAAGTTTTTAAGAGCTGATTCGTACAAAAATTACTGTCACATGAGCAGGAGATGTTACAGTACAAACTGGTACTTACTGTCACATGAGATGGTACAAATTCGTATCAATTAGCCACTAACATTGCAATGCAATTGTGTAAAGAATTTATTTATGCCTTTTAATTGCATTATAGGACCTGGATCTTACCTCCAACAGCTTTTGATGTAAAAATTACAGTACCAAAGACTTTATATAAACCTTAGTATTTTTTTATTATGTGACTTGATTCTATACATATTAGTCCTTATGCAATAAATTGTTTGAAACTACTAAAATGTCAAAAAAAAGGCACCTTTTAAAACTGCTAAATCAAAACATCCAAAGTTGACAGAGGAGAGATAAACGTCCATATCATAAACAAGGGGACAAAACAACGTTTAAATAAGAGAAAATTATGTAAATATTCATTAATTTATTTTGCTTCAGCTTAGTCCCTTTATTCATCAGGAGTTGCCACAGTGGCATGAACTTATCCAGCATATGTTTTAAACAGCGGATGCATTTCCAGCTGCAACCCAGTCCTGAGAAACACCCATGCACTCTCAGTTGCACACTACAGCCAATTCACCTATAGCGTATTTCTGTAGATCGAGGGGAAACAAGAGCACCCGGAGGAAACCCACACAAACACGGGGAGAATATGCATTTGAATTGTTGCTGTGATGGCCACCTTGTTGCCATGAAGTAAACCAGAAAAATTCAAATATATTTTAAAGTGTACTTGATGTAAAAAAAAGTCTAAAGCACTATAAACCATATACAATAGCTCTGAATGTAGTTTTTAACATGTAAACCATTACATATGAGTAGGCCAAATTCTGCAGATTTCTTTTTATTTACTTGTGTAAATTTATATTTATTCAGTTTTTAAATTAATTTCAGTAATATTATTGACTAATATGAAAATATTTATATGATTTATTTACAATATAATTTGTAAAGTAATATTTTCTGTCTTTTAGTAGATCTATTATATGATAGACTTGCTTTGTTGACAAAATAAAGTGGATCTAATTGGATTTGCATTGTAAATGTTAAATACAGGTTAAAAAGGAATTACTTTTTATTTCATATGTTAAGGTTTTTCCCAGAGATGGGTTGCAGCTGCTACTTTAAAACATGCTGGATAAGTTGGCGGTTCATTCCGCGGTGGCAACCCCCGGATTAATAAAGGGACTAAGCTGAATAGAAAATGAATGAATGAATGTTAAGGTTTTAGTTATGATACTCCCAAAATCATTTTGATTTTTAACACAATTCTGCGCAGAAATAGCAAAAAATGTCCGCAGATTCCATTTGGCCCTACAAATGAGTCATACATCTTTTTTTCCCAAATAATTGTTAATATACTAGAAAATATAAATATAACTAGAAAACTTTACACTACAGTACCTGCAGCAAAAGCATGGCAAGTGTCCAGACACACCCCGACCCGTGACTTGTCACGCACTCGGTCGATTATGCCTTTTAGTTCACTGAACTGCCCACCGATGGTGCTGCCCTGACCACTCATGTTTTCAAGCACTATTGAGAGGAAAGAAAAAAAGAACACAATTCTTCAGCTGAACTCACCAAACAGCATTACACATTTTCTAGAAATTGTCAGGGTTGACCTGTAATGACAGCAGGGGTTTGCTGGTGTGCATGATTAATAGCTTGGGCGATTTTCTCCATGCATTTCTCAGGGCTGGAGTCCATAGCAGCTCCAGGGTGAAAGTTAAACTGGCTGAGGCCCAATGCATCGCAGCGACTCAGCTCATCCACAAGCATAGCCTGGCTCTTACTGAACACATCTGGATTACAAGCACAGTCATTTGACACAGCCTCATATGCAGCTATTGACTAGATATGGCTTAAATCCACAGAGCTATGTTTTTTTTAATGCCAACGTTGTGGCTTCATCTTTAAATAGTCAGTTTTTGGTGACTGACACAACCACAGAGAGTGCAGTCATTGCTCAAACCTTCTTTAGGAGAACCGCAGTTCATCAAATAAGATCCATGTGGCAGGATGTGTACTGGATCGAAGCCATGTTCTGCACAGGCTTGTTGAAATTTAACTGCAGCCTTTGAATCAAGGACTGGTCTTGTCCAGGAGCGCTGAGAGCCCAAGAAAAGGGCAAAAGCGTGACCTCCCATGGCCACACTGGACTCCACTGCTTTCCATATTCCTCCTGATTAAGGAAAATTTCTAGAATTGTTATGTGTTTGGAACAAATACTGCATTAAAAATAAAGCATCTTCACCTGAAATTGAGACGTGAGCGCCTATATATTTTTTCTGTGGTTTCATCTTCCTTTTGCATGCCATTTGTTCTTTGGTGCTGCCATCTGATGGCTCTGCATCCAAGTGTTGCTGCCTGTTTGTTTCAGTTAGCTACACCGTCTTTCTTTTCTTCTCGCCTTTTCTTCGGGAGGCCATGTTTTTTTTCTAAGTCAAGAATAAACATGTGGCTAGACATTGTTGTAAAACGCCATGATTAACTAGGCAATTAAAATAATGTGGTTTATCGATACTGATGAAAAGATTGCTATTTTTTTACTATTTATAAAAATCTGATTATAAAATAGAATCTATAAAAAAATAAAATCTACAAAAATAGATTATACAAAAAACTTAATTTTCTTTTATTAAAAATAATCCAGTATTAAACAAAGGTATTATATATATTTTTATAAAAAGTATGTATATATATATATATATATATATATATATATATATATATATATATATATATATATATATATATATATATATATATATATATATATATATATATATATATATATATATATATATATATATATATACACACATACAGTTGAAATTCAGATATATTAGCCTCCCTGAATTATTAGCCCCCTGTTTATTTTTTCCCCAATATCTGTTTAATGTAGACAAGATTTCTTCCACACATTTCTAATAATTTTAATAACTGATTTCTAATAAATGCTTTATTTTATCTTTGCCATGATGACAGTACATAATATTTTACTAGATATTTTTCAAGACACTTCTATACAGCATAAAGGGACATTTAAAGGCTTAACTATGTTTATTAGATTAACTAGGCAGGTTAGGGTAATTAGGCAAGTTATTGTATAACGATGGTTTGTTTTGTAGACTATCAAAAAATCTATAGTTTAAAGCTTAAAAACTGCTTTTAGTCTAGCCAAAATAAAACAAATAAGACTTTTCCCAGAAGAAAAAGTATTATCAAACATACTTTGAAAATTTCCTTGGTCTATAAACATAATTTGGGAAATATTAAAAAAGAAAAAAATTCAAAGGGGGGCTAATAATTCTGACTTCAACTGTATATATTACAGAAGGGTGAAGAGGCTTTACAAGTGCAAGTGCTATTATTACGGGTATATCGCATGGCTATCGGCCAATCAGATTTGAGAACCAGACAGAACTGTTATTAGCCCACCTTTGATTTTTTTTCTTTTTGAAATATTTCCCAAAATATGCTTATAAACCAAGGAAATTTTTACAGTATGCCTGATAATATTTTGTCTTTATTTTATTTTGACTAGAATAAAAGCAGTTTTTAATAATAATAAAAAAAACATTTTAAGGTCAAACTTATTTGCCCCTTTAGTTTACAGAACAAATCATCATTATACAATAACTTGCTTAATTAGTCTAACCTGCCTAGTTAATCTAATTAACCTAGTTAAGCCTTTAAATGTCTCTTTAAGCTGTATAGAAGTGTCTTGAAAAATATCAAGTCAAATATTATTCATCATGGCAAAGATAAAATAAATCAGTTATTAGAAATGAGTTATTAAACCTATTCTGTTTAGAAATGTCTTGAAAAAAATCTCCCTGTTAAACAGAAAGTGGGAAAAAACAAACAGGAGGGCTAATAATTCAGGGAGGAATATGTATTATTATTCTAATAATTATTTATTATTTATTTTGTTATTTATTTAATTATTATTATTCTAATAATTATATGTGTGTGTTTACACACAATATTTAAGGTCTTAAAGCTGAAAAGAGATTTTACATAAAAATGTATTCAAAAACACATTTTACAAATTATTATTATTTTTATTATTTATACTCTTTATCATTTTAGTATCTGTAACGTTATACAAATTGATGCTGATTCAAAAAAGGCCTCTGTGTACCAAAAACCTAACACCTTATCTAAATTATAAAAACATAAAACTTATTATGACAGACTGGGGTAGCCTTAACAAATGTTGCAAATATGTACATTTAACGTTAGTATTTATTGTGAGGCATCGCTCTTTTTAAGTAAGATGAAATTTCTTGTGACAGACTGGGGTAGCCTTAACTAATGTAACAAAAAAGCAGTAGGCTACCTTACGTAACATTACGTATAATTAACATTCACTGCAAACAAGTCAGGTCTCATGCCAAATATGTTCTGTTTATTAAAAGAACGTCCAATTAAAGAGTTATTGGACTTTTAATATTGAAGGTCAAAAATCTCCCTCGGCTGCCCCCCTTCCGTCAGATCTGTCCAGACACACACATTCACACCGAGCAGTAAAATGGCCGACCGTCAACCAACTGACTTTACAGCGCTTTAAACATAGATTCCGCCTCTTTCGTTTACATTATCGTATTTCATATTTAAAACCTACAGAAGGAGTGTTTTCATGACTAGCTCATAGATATTGATGGAGTATTGTATTTCACGTTGCCTCAAAACCCAGAAATTCGCACTTAAGCACTTTAGCTGTAGCTAGAAGACTAGCTGCGGTGCATGTAATTCCTGAGGTAAGTGCTTTATTTTAAAAATCATTTCATGTGAAATGTTGCTTGCAACTAATGACACTAATATGCATTTTGAAAAACCGCAGTTGCGTGAAAGCGTTTTAGTATGGTACGGTTTTTCTTCGTCGACATCTGTTAGCCCTAGCTCTGTCGCTAGTTAAATTAGCCAGGCAGCCAGTTAGCATTTGCCTGTATGCAACTTTAACGTTAGCTTTCCGCTGGTCAATCATGAAAACATACTCGTTGTTGTATAGTAACACACTAATGGATCTGAGTTATGTCTGCGGTAAAATAAGTATAAGTTGAGTTTAGCTAGGCAATGTATATCACGACTATCAGTCCAGGCTCGCTAACGTTACGTTAACGTTGCTGCTGCCCATATTTGAGCAGTTGCATATTTGTGCATATTTTGTTTTGACAGCTGCTTACCCTTTTGATTTGTGTTACGATCCGTACGTAAATAGACTCTGGCTTCAGGGAGAATTTAATAAAATATCTGAGGTTCACGTTTAGGATGTGTTAATATCTTCTGCTAGCAAATTAGCTAACGTTAACTGAGTAACATACACCTGAGATTGGCAGGACCACTAAAGCATACGCGTTAGCTCGGTGTGTTTCAGTTAGTGCCGTTAAAACACTGGATTTAACAGTTGTTTTTGCACGAATTGTTCGTATAGCCGACGTAAGGAATGTATGCTATATTTTAAATTTTACCCGAGGAAATGGGCGGGTGGACGGACGAAGCGCCTGTCCAACAACTCTGCCCTGCCAACTGCAGGCTTCCAGACAGATAGCAGCAATAGTTTCCCCCATTATAAAGATCACAGTATGAATTTCATTGGCATCCGTTTTTTAATGACAGGTTCAAACTCCACTCGAGCCTTCGTTCAAATTATTTTTACAAAGATTGGTGATATCTTGATCATGTGATTGGTGCCGTTGTTGTGTATCGTGCTGTTATGCATTTGGTTTGATAACACAGCAGCACCTCTTAGTGCCTGGACTGGTTGAAGGTGATACTAGACATATGCATTTTGCAGATCCTTGGTATTGTATACTAGGAATTGGCAGTTTATTTACATTTATTTACATCATTATTTACATGGCAGTTAAGTTACATTTACAAAGTTTTACAATTGAACACTAGTTTTTGATGTTTTGTTTTTCAAGAAAGGAGCACCAGGAAAGGGAACAGCAGTTCATGGAAGACAAGAAAAGGAAAAAGGAAGATAAAAGGAAACGGGAAACCTCGCAGAAGGTAATTGCTATGTTATATTAATTATTTCTGACTATTAAGTTAAGCACATACCGTCTTTGAAAAGATGTGTGTTCATTTTCAGAATTTAAATAGCATTCTGGATTCACTTTTTATGCTGTAAATGTAGAAGTCCTTTCTAGAGAATAACATCGTTTTAATAGTTAACTGCATCAACCAAGCCTCTGGTACATGTTTGTCAAAGTATCATTGTAGAAATACTGATGCTTGGCTGTTCATGAAAATATTGATTGCTATCACTTAATTAGCATTCATGCTTTAGGTTTGATCTCAATATAATCTTGCTTACCATATCTAAATCCTTAAAAAGAATGTGTAAGATATAGTTGAGATGTTTGTTTTGAGCCAGCTTGTCCTGTCAGATACTCTGACATATATGTGCTAAAGACAAATAGGTTATGTTGGCTGTTTAATTAGTTTTTTTTTCTCATTGCAAAACCTATATATATCACATGTTATAAAAATATTTCCATTTTGCTGTCAGGGGCGCAAGAGGGTTTCTGCATGTGAATTTCCTCTCAGCTTCACTGAACAATTGTGAAGTTTTGTGATGGAGTTATAATGGTCATTAAAGTTTTATTGTTCTTAGTGGGAAAGGCTACTTTAAATAATTTTATAAAATGCGGTGGAATGTAGTTAAGAGATGAAGAAGGAATACCTTAAACTTTGTTGTGTGCCTTGAGTAAATTAAAATATATGTTTTCATCAAATTTGTATCTCCTTTTTTATTGTTTTAGGTTGCAGAGCAAAAAAATAAAGGTAACTATTTTATTTCCATCTTTAATTTTTGAACTCTGTACCGACGTTCTGAGACGATGTGTTTTTATGCTGTCAAGGAGGCATATTATGTAATGTCCACTTTGTTAACTTGTGAATTTATTCTTTTCTTTTACCTATATGTAGCTTTTCTGCAGTTCTGCTCTCATTTGCTCCTAACTTTTCCACCACACAGTGCCAGAATTGACCAAGCCTCCATCTGCACAGTCTCCTGCCGCCCCCAACTCAGCTTCCCCCAGCCCTGGCCCCGTCCCCTCTTCAACCCCATCCGCTGCCACCCCGGCTGCTGGCACCCTCCCTCAGGGTGGGAACAATGCTAAGCGGCCGGCGGTGGCCAACGGACAGCCCTCCCCCAGCACACCGAATTCTCAGCGCTACATGCCCCGTGAAGTGCCCCCTCGATTCCGTTGCCAGCAGGACCATAAAGTGCTACTGAAGAGGGGCCAGCCACCACTGTCCTCCATGCTGCTGGGGGGAGGCAACAGCGGGGGAGACAGCCCCAATGAAACAGTGGCTTCTGCCTCAGGTAGGAATCATTAGGTTAATAATTTAAATTGCATAGTTACATTTTTATTCAGTTTTACACTGGGTAAGTTGATCATTATATTTTATAGTTTGTATTACATATGCTTGGTTTTTGTGTCATAAAAAAGTCTAGCATATCTTGAAGATTTTATTTTATTTCAGATCCAAGCCAGGGCCCTGTGGGTCCAGCTGCTCCCTCACTGCCCCATACGTCATCCGCCTCATCAATCGCTGCTTCTTCTTCTTCAAATTATGCAAATTCCATGTGGGGGACCAGCTCTGGCAGCCATCCCCTCTCTCAGGGCAGGGAAAAGGTGATAGTGGACCGGTCAGACCTGGAGGAATGGCCCAGTATTGCTGCTGGGGATGGATCAAAGTCAGGGGATGCAGCAGGTACAGGAGGTACAGACAGTGGTGCGATTCTGAACTGCAATGCCTCGTGGGGTGAGAGGCATCTCCAGCAGCAAGCGAAAGTTGTGGGAGGAGGGAATGGAAGGAAAGGAGTCAATTCTGGCAGTTCCTCTCCGCCCACATCCTCTGGATCACCCAATGAATGTATGCAGTCTGGTAGTGTTTGGGCTTCATCCTCCCATGAACTCATAGGGGGGAATGCAGTAGCAGCAGGCTCATTGCCCCCCATATCCAAAGCTGCCCCTCTCCCAGGGAGCTCTGATAGCTCCTTTGGTGTCAGCTGTGGGATTCCAGGTGCCAATTTTACCCCTAATGCCAATCCCTCTGCTTGGCCAGCCCTAGTACAGGAAGGGGCTGGGACAGTTGCAACAGAGGGTGGCTCCTCTTCCCTCCAAAGCTCATCTTTGTCTGCCAGCAACCCTCTTTCTGTGAATCAAGCCTCTCATCAGCACCAACTTCACCAAATGCAATCCAGAGACAGAGAGCCATCCTGTGGAGAATGGGGTGGCACAGCACTGGAACCAGGAGCAGGACCAAAAAACACTGGGGTGACAGAGGGGGCTGATATGGACTCTGGAAGCACAGGTGGAGGAGCAGGCTCTGCTTCGTCTTCCTCCTCCACCAGCTCATCATTGTGGAGAACTCAGCCTTTCCCTGCAAACTTCAAAACGGGTGCCTCAAGGACTGAATCTTGGGATGATGGAGCAGGAGGGAGCTCCTTGTCTGCTGAAAGTGGGAAGGCATGGGGATATCCCGGCCAGGACGATCGAGGAGATTTGACGGGGGCAGGTGCCTGGGGAACAGGAAGTGGGGGTCAGACCCCCGGGGTATCTCAGGGAGCGTGGGGTGGGGACCATTTGTTGGGTGGGGAATGGGGGGCATCCAGTGGTGTTGGAGGTGTCAGTGATCAAGGTGGGAAAGACGGCTCAAGCAGTAACAGCAGCAGTAGTGGCGGTAGTGTCAGCATCCCGACGACAACCTCCTCCACACCTTCAACTATGACAAGAGCTTGGGACAATCAGAAAGCAGTTGGGGATGTGGGAGCAGGAGATTTGAGTGAGTGGGGAGGCCAGGGTAGCAGAGGTGGGGAAGGTACCTCATCCTCCAGTGGTGGAGGAAACTCCAGAAGTGGCAATCAGCGCCATGGCCACCACCGCACTCATAAGCCTCCTGACCCTGAAGTGGCCTTACAGGATCTGCTTAGCCGGTCGGATCTGGACCCCAGAGTGCTGTCCAATACTGGTTGGGGTCAGACACAAATCCGTCAGAATGTGGCATGGGATTTGGAAGATGGAGGCAGAGCAAAAGCACCAGGTGGAGCAAATTCCTTATCTATTGGTTCATCTGCTCATGCCCAGCCATACTCTGGTCCTAGTGGGAGCACAACTACTGATCCATCTTCCCCCTCTCTGCTCCAAGCTGCATCTCTGAATGCCAACTTAAACTCAAACTCCATCCTTGGACCACCTGCAGTTTCATCTGGTGAAGGTTGGGACAACAGTAGTAGCAACAGCAGTTCTTTGCATACCCGAGGCCCTCCACCCTCAGGTGTCAATATCCAAAACCCTAGCGTCTCACAATCTGGAGGTGGAGGAGGTAGCTCAGCTGGTGGGCAGGGCATGCCATCTGGGGGTTGGGGAGGGACTGCATCATCAGAAGGCCAAGTAAAGGGCTGGGAAAGCGAGGGACATGAGTGGCGAGAACGGCGAGCAGGAGGTTCGTCAGGTGGGTGGGGAGATTTCCAAACACAGGGTACTCCATCAACAGGAGGAAGTGGCTGGGGAGATAGTCAGGAGGAGAAAGGAACAAGATCAAGTGGATGGAAAGAAATGGGGAGGGTGGATGCAGGCAGCTGGGGACCGAGAGGTACCAGCGACTGGGGAGAAAAAGAGTCTAAATCGTGTAGTGGGGGGTGGGATGGAAAGGGTGGTGGAGGTACTAGTGGAGACTCAGAAGTGGGTACATGGGGTAATTGGGATGATGGAACTCCTGGAGGGACATGGGGAGGGGTGGGTGGAGACATGGGTGGAAAATCTCACCAAGGTTGGGGTGGGAAGATGCACCCTTCACAAATGCCAAACAGCCAATCAGCCTCACAGAAAGGCCCGGCACAGCAGCAGCAGCAACCACAATCACAGCCTCAGCAGTGTCAGTCAGTGGACACAGGGGCCATGCAAGGGGGCTGGGGAAGACCAGCAGGTCCTTCAGTCCAGAGCCAAAGTTCAGGGTGGAATTCAGGGCCTATACCCCAAATTTCCAATGGCCCTGGAGAGACTTCAGAGCCCAGCGGTTGGGAGGAGCCTTCTCCACAGTCCATCAGCAGGAAAATGGAAATTGATGATGGAACATCTGCTTGGGGTGACCCCAGCAACTACAACTACAAAAGTGTCAACTTGTGGGATAAAAACAATGCCCCATCTGGCCAGGCACAATCAGTGTCCCCTCAGCAGGGCCCCCCACCCCTGCAACAGCCGCCACCAGGAAGAATGCCAACAGGTCTTGGGAATAGGGACATGAACATTGCACATTCAGCAAGCAAGGGGCCAGGAATAGGTAAGAGACTTGTTTTATTCAAATTATAGTTTCATTTAACCATTGTCAAAACAGTTGAAATTCAGCATCAAACACCCAAACTAAAAAAAGGTCTCAGCATATCTTAAAAACAAATTTAAAAAAAAAATTAATTCTTTTATTTATATTTTAGCTTCTGGGTGGGGAGGTCGTGGCTCTCCTTCCAGTCCTTGTGTGGACAATGGTACTTCAGCCTGGGGTAAACCTACTGAAGCTCCCACTGGTTGGGATGACAGTGGCAAGGCCTCAAGTTGGGGGGATCCCTCATCCAATCCAGTGAAGTCTGGTGAGTCTAGATTTTAAAATAATTGCGGTGGTTTTTTGATCAATTTCAATCCTGAATGTATTGATATTTCTGAACAGTTTAAAGGTAGATAGTAAAATTCTAAACAGTTTAATGTTGATATTTTTACAGGTTCAAAGTCTATGCAAGAAGGTTGGGTAGAAGGAGAGGGTTCAGTCAGTGCTTCGCGTAACCCTAGCTGGGAGGAGGAGGATGAGAGTGGTGGTGTTTGGAATAGTGCTGGTTCCCAAGGCAGCAGCTCTTCATATAATTCTGGAGGCTGGGGAGCCAAAAAGGGCAACAAGGTATGTCATTGGTCAGACTAGGGAACAATATTTATACAAATCTGGAAACTAATCAGGATCTTTATATCTGGTTAATACATTACATTTTTTTCAGGGCTCCTTGAAGGGTGCAGGAGATTCTTGGATGAACCCAATGTCAAGACAGTTTTCAAATATGGGAATTTTGGTAAGAACATTTAGTATTATATTGGTGTATAATGTGGCTCAAGTTAATAAAAACTGATTCAAATCATCAGATGCAGTTTTGTTTTTGGTTGGCTTTAATAATAATTGCCTTTAAACCTGTTTACCCGATATTTGTGAATAATATATTACATAATATTATATAATGCTTCTTTATTAATATGTTATGGTTAAACCATGAGATTTAACAATGCTGACATGTTAATAGGGAGAGGACGCAGGTGGCCGTTCCTTGGATTTGGCCCCTGGTCCTCCACAGGACAAAAAGATGGAAGGAGAGAAGCGTGGCATGGGCTTAAACGAGTACAATGGAGAGATGCGTAAAGGAGGTCGTGGAGGTGGGGCAGGAGCAGTCTTCCGTTCACCTGGTTCCAAAGAGGTGGGAGCTTGTGAACCTGGGCCTTACTATGACAAGGTATTTGCTTCTATTTATGTCTCTAAAAAATCTCAACACTACAGCAGTCATGTTTTTCTCTTAGAGATTCTAAAGTGTTGGTCTAAAATGGAAAAATGTGTTAAAAGGGTGAAATACATACGCCACACTTGTATGTAGCACTTTAAACAAACACAGACAACTGCAGGATACAATAAATTCACAGAAGACTTCAGCGAGTAAGTGCATGAAGACCTTCAGTGCTCAGAGTACAAACAAACGCAAGAAGATGATAGTGAATGCACATGTATCTGAAAATGTCTGAATTGTGTAAATGTTAATGCTTCACTTCTGGTAGTCTAGTTGATACAGCATTACCAGGTTTTGTTGTAATAGTTTTAATAAACCTAGCTGTTTTTGCATTACAAACACCACCCTCCAGTTCACTATTGTTGTTGTTACAATTTTTTCCTTTCTCTAGTCATGTAGTACGGTGATGTAATTTTTTCACAAAAGTTGCGTTTTTCTAATCCACACCAGCTGGAACTGAATATGTGGATAGCATTTTAAGTTTTTTCCACTCTGTAACATACTTAAAATTTTGTTTCAGACCAGAACCGGTGTTGTTTGAATAAGAGACTTTTTATTCTGGACAATTGCTGTCACATTTATTAACTGTTTTCTAATCCTTTCCTTTAGGCAAGTGGTCAGTTGTTTAGTAGCGGAGGAGGGATGGCACAGTCAAGGCACCAACCAGGGGTGCCACCCATCAACCCATCAGTGCGAGCACAAGTGCCTCATCAGTTCCTGTCACCTCAGGTACTGGGTGACTTGAATGTTAAAAAGTATTATATTCATAATATTGAGCTCTGCTGTTATGCTGACACACATGCTAAATTTCCACCACTAAAATAGCATTTGGTATTGTCTATTAGATAAGATTGCATAATTATAGAAATAGAGCTGGTCGCAAAGCACGTGAGATGCGGTCTTGGTAATGGAATTCATTTCTGCTGCAGGTGCCAGGCTCTGTTCTGAAACAGATGCCTCCTCCCAGTGGAGGTGTTGGGGGAGGCATCTTTCCTCCACAGCTTTCCCCTCAGCACATTGCCATGCTCAGCAGCATCTACCCACCACATCTTCAGTTCCAGCTGGTGGGTAGCTCCTTGTTGCTCACTCAGAACATAATATATGCAGTCCAGACTCCATGCACTCCCTACAGCTGTTTTATTTTTCTTTTGACCCTGTGACTCATGTTTTCTTGCAGGCCTGTCAGCTCCTACTGCAACAGCAACCGCAGCAACAACAGCAGCAGCAGCTGTTACAGAACCAGCGCAAGTTCCCCCCAAACATACGACAACAAGCAGACCCCCAACAGGTACAATCTTTTTTAAGCACAGTAACCACTGCTTAAATCATTGATCATTGCTGAAAGTTTTAAAGATCCAGTAAAATGCCTTAATGTGAATTTTAGTTCTGTCTGTCACTTCATTTGAATAGAAACATTAAGACAGGGCGAGACAAAGTAGCTCCTTCCCTTTAAACAGCTAATTTAGTTTTCAGCACAGCTCTGTCAGTAAGAGTGGTTGAGCTCGAGCATTGCATATAGCTATGGTGCCTTGAAAAGGGTGAGACATGTCAGATACCAGAGAGCAATTGGTTGGTCTGGAAATTTGTTGAGAAACTGAAGAATGAGGTGACTTCAACACAAATCTTCAGTCCATTTAGGTGGAAGAAACAAACTGCAATGGATGGTTGTATCGCTTAATGCAAACTTTGTTACTGCACACTTGCTAATAGACATCCCTATAACCAATATACTGACACTAACATCTAAAAAACTTTATTTTGATGTCATCTATGATGAAAATGAACTTTTGTAAGCTGTTTGGACAGAACTGTGTGTAGGTATCACGATCACCAGTGATCCAACCACCAGAGATTGCTGGTAAACATTCACACTCAAACAAACTACAAATCTGCCACTTTATAGACTACAGATCCAGTCATGCAACACACACACACACCTGCTCCAAGTTTCCACTGATTATACACTTGCAGCTGTAGCTGCTCATGGATTGATTCATAGACTAATTAAGCAGCACAGACACACACAATGTTGCTGAGTCTTGTTAGCTGAATAGTAACATTACAATGCGGTTCCTTTCTCCTGCTTTGCCTTGTTGTGATCCTCGCCTGGTTTATCTGTTTATCCGTCTGCTGCCTGCCTTCTGAACATAAGCCTGTTATTTTGACTATGACTCTGGATTGCCCTTGTACATCTGTTTGCTCCTGTATTGATAATTGCTTGCCTGACCATCCTGTTAATAAAACCCTGCGTTTGGATCCTCACCTCTGTTGTCAGTGTCACACCCTCGTTACAGTAGGTTATAGTGTGTCCACAGTCATATCGGAGTGATATAAACCTAACAAGTCTCTTATTTTTTTTTTTAAATTAACTGACATTAAAATATGACTCAAATCCCAGTGAAGCCCCCACGCAACGTAATTTGGAATGGGGTTTCTATAATAACATGTATACACAAGTCCACAGAATATTTTTTTTTGGAAAGAAACTGGAATTAACCTATCTGATGTAACTCTGTGATTTTTTTATAAGTTTTATAAGTTAATATTTTTTTTAAACAGAGCATGTTTGTAATGAATACAATAAAATCGCTATTTAATTCTTAACCACTATAATCACCATGTCACTATGGTGTCAGTAAACGCTAATATGTGAATAAACTCTACCAAAAATACATGAAATAAATTTACTTGGTATTTTGGACTAATGAGCTGTAGGGCTGCTCGATTATGGGAAAAATCCTAATTATGATTATTTTGGTCATAATTGTCATCACGATTATTCAAAACAATTATCAGATGAAGTCAAAATTATTAGCGCTCCTGTGAAATTTTTTCTTTATAAATATTTCCCAAATAATTTTTAACAGATTCAGGAATTTTTTACAGCATTTCCTATAATATTTTTTCCTCTGGGGAAAGTATTATTTGTTTTAGTTTGGCTAGAATAAAAGCAGCTTTTAAATTTTTTGAAACCTGTTTTAAGGTCAATATTATTAGCCCCCTTAAGTAACATATTTAATTGTCTGCAGAAGAAACCCCTGTTATACAATGACTTGCCTAATTACCCTAATTAAGCCTTTGAATCACACTTTGAATCTAAATGCTTGCATTTTGAAAAATATAATGTACTTATATCTTAATATATATAGCTTGTATCATCATGGCAAAGATAAAAGAAATTAGTTATTAGAAATGAGTTATCAAAATGGGTTAAAAAATCTCTTTTTCATTAAACAGAAATTAGGAGGAAAAGTGTTGCTAATAATTCAGGAGGGCTAATAATTCTGACTTCAACTGCATGCAGTTATTTTCCACCCTTTAAAAAAGGAAAGGGAAATAAATACAATAGAATAAAAATATGAAACAAACTGTGCTTTAAGCATCTTTACTGTAAGAATTAAACTTTAGCTACAAAAGTCCTTTAGTCAGTCAAGAGCACTGAGGGATTTTCTCCTTTAGGTGTTTGATTAATAATCAAACAGGCGGCAGCATTGCGCATTGTCACTTTGATGGTTTCTCTTTCGCATGTCTTTTGATTCTCAACTTGTTTGTTTATTACACAAATGAGAGTTATTATGAAAAGTCTCTAAACATTGCGTTTTGACACATTTTTGACCATTAAAGCTTTCACAATAAGATGACTTTAGATGTGTGTGCCCTGCTTGTCTCTGAGCGAAGTGTGCGAATGAGACCGAATGCTGATCTGTGGCATGCGGTCTCATTCGCGCTTTTAAAAACATGATTCCAACCATTTACGATGCGCATTCTGCTACGATGCTGCAAACGTTACATACACGACATGCTTTTAGTCATTTTCATGTGAAACTGAGCTTTGCAGAGCAACAAATGTGTACAACTGGAAAGGGGGCGGTACATGATGCAATAATCATTTTATCTTGATTAATAATTTCCATAATCGTTAGAAGTCGAAATCGAATTTTCGATTAATTGCACACCCCTAATGAGCTTTCAGCTTCATCCATGTCTGTCTCTATCACTGATTGCTGTTTTGATGTAATGCAGGAAAAGCAGAAACACACGTAATGGTGGGCGAGGAGGATTAACTTGAAAAAAACAAAAACAGCTACAATGTAGTCAGACGTCTCCCCTGACAGCCCGCACTCACACCATAAATGGGCCTCGGCACGCTTACATCATCGCTGCTGCGGTGTTCAGTGAGAAGCGCTCTCACTCAGCATCACAGTGGAGATTTCCCTAGTTATATCGTTTCAGTCGATTGATATGCAGTGACATGCAGTCAAATATTTTGCCAAACAGTCCTTAGGGATGCGGGGACACGCAGTCAGATATTTCGCCAAACAGATCCGCCACTTTTGGCGCTCATAAACAATCATATTGCTCTCGTGCTGCAGGAATGAGGAGGTCTGCTGAAGGTCCGCACTGCCCAGCTTTCGTACAGTGAGGGGTTTGCGTCTTTAATAAACTACAGCAGTTTGCGTTCACTGAACAGTAAGAAAGATTAATGAATCTATATGAAACAGTCCCTTAAGTCACATCTCGCTTTCAGTTTCGGGCTTTGGCGCGTTTTGCACTCACACACAAGTGTACCGCGCCAAAGCCCAAGTGAACCGTGCTTAAGCCCGATTCAGCGCACTCACACTTATCAAATGATCCGGGAAACGGGCCTGGGCACGGTACGGACGGCATAGTGTGAGTAGGCCCTAAGGGTTTACAAAAATGCTGTCAATAAATGTAAATGACTTCAAGTAAAAAAGCAGACAAAATTCTTTATTGCTTCTAGATAGATACTTGATATTTATGTCGATTTGTCATAGGAGATGTTGCTGTGGTCAAACAAACAGCTAGCCAGTACAAATGCCAAGGTGCTGTTTGTTTACATCTGCTCTTGTGATGTGAAATTGAAATGAGGATTGGGGTTTAACCCTCTGCAGTTGTGTACATTTGAAAATACAGTATTCCTGTTGAATATCTGATATTATGTTGAATCATGTTTTTTTCTGTCTTTCTCTAGCTGGCCAGAATCATGGCTGTTCTTCAGCAGCAAAGACAACAGCAGCAGCATGTGGGAGGTACAGGGGGCAGCTCCAAACTCTCTCCTTCTCATCTTGGAGGAAGTGGCCCAAAGATGCCAATGTCCGACCCCCTTTCACACCCTGGCTTGGCAGGATCTGTTGCGGACCTACATCAGAAAACACAAGGAGCTTACTCTGGTGAGATTGCTTTTATTTTAAAGTTTCCCACCAGGTTGCCTGTGCATATGGGAACTTGATGGTGAAGTGGTTGTGATGTTGTAACATTTTATTTCATATGTTACAGGGTTTGGGCCTGGAATGAGTCTCTCTGGTCTGGAATTGGGTCCCATGGTTGGTGGGCCAGCTGGGCTGAAAGACAGTGGGGGGCAGCAGTCTCGTTTCAAATGGATGATGGAAGGCCATTCTCCAGCACCTTCACCTCCTGATAGCACTCTTCATAAAAATGGTGCAGTACCTATTTTTGTGAATTGTTTTTCTCCACTGATTTTCGTTATACACAAAACCAGTTCTGCAGTAATTGAACCTTGGTGGTGTTCTGTTTATATGTAGGTCCCATTGCTGCTCCTCTTAAAATGAGAGGTGGTTCCCCGTATTCCCAGTACGAGATGCTAGGAGGTGGTGAGGGTTTAGGTGTTCCTCCACAGGGGCCATCAGATCACTGGCACAGAAGTCCTGGAAACAAAATGGGCACCAAAACTGGCACATCAAGCTGGCCTCCAGGTAAACAATGTTTTAATAAATTAAATAATGTCATAATTTTTGCTCTTTCTGAATTTTGTGTGTTTTTGGTGCAGAGTTTCAACCTGGAGTGCCTTGGAAAGGACGTCCGAATGTGGACACTGACTCTGATCCCTACATGACCCCTGGAAGTATGTTGGGTTCATCGATGTCAAGCCTCAATGACACTGAGCATCAACTGCTAAGAGACAACACAGGTACAACTCCTATGCTTACAGTAGAAATAATAGGTAAAAGTGATTTAGAATAAGAAATCCATTATATGAGTCATTTATTACTATTTCTTCTTTTTAAACTGTTGACAGATAGAAAATAACACACTTTTGCTAGTTTCCAGTTTGCCAACACAAAGTTCACCGACCTTTTCCTTACCCATCCCGCCTTTTCTATCTGTCCAACATAAATTATTGTCAATATATCTGCTGTCCTATTGTAATATTGTAATAATGTATCTACTTACAGATTTTCAAATTATATAAAATATCATCTGTTTATTGTATTTTTATTTTATTTTAATTTTATTTTTTGCTTATTTCAGCACGTTTTGCCACCTAGTAGACTCTTTTCGTTTAAGCCTTCTCTTAGTTTATGTGCTTTTGTACATGCACTGTCCACACAACTTGGCCCATTCGCACACACTCCTGAGGACATAAATGACTTTGGGGAAAGTGTGTGAAAGAAGTGTGCGTTGGGTTTTAAAATCTCCTTAAAATTTATTTAATTTAATTAAAAGCATTTGTAACCATCCATTTCAAGTTAAAAAAAGAAGATACGCTTTCAATATGTTGTGACATTTTATTTTGAAGAAACACCGTTGCTGTATGAGGTAAACAGATACAACCAATTAAAACAACTTAAGCTCATGGAATATGCTCTGACATGCTTGTTTTAATGCCTATATCTGAAGCGGCCACTTGCTTTTAGTCATAATTTAGTTTTCCAAATTATCAGTTTCTTGATAAAAGGTCTCAGCATTGTAGTCTTGTTTTTGTCAATGTTAAATGTGACATTATCACTATGATTATTATTAACATTATTACCTTAAAAATCGATCTACTCTCCCCGAAACTACATTATATTGTAATTTATAGATAAACATAGATTTATTTACACTTTTAATGTGCTCATCAGCAGTGGTGGTCAGAGTACTACATAGTGGAACAATTAACTTCATCTACTTTAACTTTGTATGTTGCATCTTTGCTAGGCATAATGTTTGTATTTAGCACTAGGATAGGTTTAGGCAAGTTGAAGCTAATCTTCGTAGAACATTGGCCTTCCAGGACTGAGTTTTGATATGCCTGGGGTCCGTTCTTCGTACGTGGATTACTCAGTTAGCTGGATTTGGATATTGACGATTTGACACGATCCAGGATTGTTTCGTTCTTCAAAGCTGATCCGAGAGTTGTTGTCATAGCAACAGTTCTGCTAGGTCAAACCTGATCGGGAGCAGGTTCAATTCATATAAACAGGATTAGATCGGCTCAGATCAAGCAAAGATATACAGAAAGTGTTCCAAATTCTGTATATAATAGAATTCTGAAATTGTGTATAATAGAAATGCACAATATGTGACTTTTTTAAAGCAATAATACATTTCAGCAGTCATAAACATGTTTTGGCAGTTAATATGCCAGTGATTTGATGCTTCACAAAAGTTGCAGACGCATTTACCAATATGAAAACGCTTTTGTAAACAACCAGTTATTCTTTACACTGATTAAAAAAACGACTACTATAATAAAGAAAATATTTTCTAAATGTGGAACTAAATACATTGATTTGCATTGAAATACATGATGAATACTCTTGACACATGAAAGTGGAAAGCCTGCAGCTCACAACAAATGTGGAAGGTTATTGCGTGTCATATTTAACAAGCCGTTTACTGCTAATTTGATGTAATTTTGCTCACATGGATAATTGAATATTAATCAGATGATGTCATTACGCTGCTGTGCCGTCAGCCAATTGTTGCATTGCTGATCATGATTTCGAGGATCGATTGATCTGTCCTTCACAACACACGCAGCGATCTCAGATCAGTTTATCCAGATATTCTAATCTGATTCGCGAACTTGTTTAAAGAACCAAATTAGCAAGAGATCAGTTATCAAGATTAAAAGATCCGGGATCTGCCAAATAATCTCAGATCATTTAAGCGAGGTACGAAGAACGGACCCCTGTTCTTTAAAGTCTATGAAACAAATTTCAAACATTTAAGCTGAAATCTTTACATCAATTGTTTTGTAAGATTTGTTGATTCACTCTAAACATTTGACTGGTAGTCTAATAAGATTCTTTCTAATGCACTTTAGCACAATTACTCAGAAGGCTTAGCTTTGAATTTTCTGTCATTTTCATGTTCATGTAAATACTAACAAATAAGCTTTTGCCTCGCTTTTGCATAGAATCAAATCCCTCCCTCAACACCTTGCTGCCTTCACCTGGTGCCTGGCCCTACAGTGCCTCAGAGAGCCCCCTAACCAATGCACACAATCCAGGTAAAAACTAGAGCTCCTCTCACTAGAGGTCATTTTTAATAAATTTTAATTAGTAAAAATTATAATTTTAAAGATTTAATAACTCCGTTATTTGTTGTTTCAACATGGATGAATGCCAATGCTCTGAATGTCTCCTGTTTTTTATAGCTAAGTACACAGACTACAAGCCCAGCTGGCCACCTGAGCCAATAGGGCACAACAAGCCTTGGAAGACCAATCGCAACAACTCTCATCTGCCACGCCCACCTCCTGGACTGACCCATCAGAAGCAGCCTTCAGTTTCTCCCTGGACGAGTGGAGGCCCACGAGTGGGTAGAGGATGGGGCGGCTCTGGAGGCAGCCAAGAAAACAGATTTGGGCCTGGTAATAAATACATGTGTTTAATTGAAACTGTTAAGGCAACTCTGTTAACGTTTAGTAAATGAATAGAGACCAAATAGTCTCAATCTGTGTAGGTTCTGCGTGGAGTGATGGAGGAGCCTCTAAGGGGAGCTGCTGGCTGGTTTTGAGTAATCTTACCCCTCAGGTATCTTATGTGTTTGGATTTTATTTATATTATATTAAGAAAAATACAGTACAATGACAGTTGTTTTTCATTGTGATGACTTATAATTTCTTTTTGTATAATTTCTTTATAAGATTGATGGCTCCACTTTGAGGACTATCTGTATGCAGCATGGACCGCTTTTGACCTTTCACCTCGGTTTGACCCAAGGTAGTGCTCTAATTCGCTACAGCTCTCGCCAAGAAGCAGCCAAAGCCCAGAGCGCACTTCACATGTAAGTGTTTATAAAGCCGCATTCGCCTGACCCAGAACATTCAAAATGATGCTGTTTTTTTTTTTTTTTTCATAGAAATTTTTCACTTGAAAAACTGTTTCGAACTCCATTTTATGCTTGTTGAAAACAATTCTAAACAAATTCAATAGTTCGATGGATGGGGTATATGCCCAAGCATGCTAATAGGACTTTTAATTTGCCAGTAACCTGGGTTAAGCACTTCCGGCGAATTGAATGCCAATGCAAAATCCGGTGCGTTTAAGGTCTGTTTTCTTTAAAAATTAGCGCTCTCCTCTAGCTGAGTGATATCCGATTTAAAGTGGGTCTCAGATTGTACAAGAAGCACTGCATTAAATTACATTTCCCCCGCCATATCTTTATAATTTGAGCATTTATTTTACCCCAGTATATTTAAGGGAGCTTCTGCGTTAGCCTGCAGATTCTGACGGGCGTGTGTGAGTAAACAGCTTTTTTTTACGCTTGAGCAACTAAATAAATGCTAAAGTTTATTTAACTGAATGTATTTTAATGACATTACAACATCGATGCTGTATAAGGAACCGTATAAAATGGTAAAAAGTTCACAATAACAGATCACCGGAAGTGTATCAGCATGGGAACTGCACTAGCTCGGCATATACCCATTGTGATTGTTATGATGTCACATTTACTAGAAATAAAGTTTAAACATTTGTTGTTGTTTTTTCTTTCTTGCAATTGTAACTTAATTTCTTAATTTTTTCCCATTGTTTATGCATTTGTACATAATATGCTATTTGTTTGGTTATATTGGATTTTAGGCCTAATGTAAAGCAATTTGTTTAATGGTAGCCAGCTCAGAGATCTCAATTTTATATCTTCAAGTCACTGTAAATTCAGTTTTTACACATACTTGACATCAAAATTTGGCAGCAGTTGTTTTATAATATAAATAAAATATGAATAGTTCTATATGAATAATGTATACTTAGCAAGTAAATTACCTTGTCATTTATTTTGTCCATTTGAAAGCTTTTAGATGCATAATTTATTTTTCCTATTTGTAATAGTTTTGTTTCTGCTGTTATAAATAGAAAGATACAGTATTTTTGTTGTAATCTGTAAGGTGAAGTTTGTTAGGCCTTCAGCGCATTTATGCTTAAAGATAAGTGTTAAGTTAGCTGGTATCTATTGTAAGAGACAAATCATCACAGTAGAATTATTTCTACAATTGTGCCCTTATTTCTTGTAATCGTAAGAAAGACACACTGTCTACGAGATGTAATGTCCCAAATGTGACAGTCACAGTTTTGAGAAAAATGCTATTGCAAGAATTGGCAAATGTGACAATTAACCAAGTAACTATAGTTTCTTATATTTGCAGCTTAATACATAGTATGATGGGATACAAAGCCACAATAGACTCTTGCACACCTACAGACCTTTTCCGAAAATTAATTGCCATAAATAGATCATGCTTGAAAGGGTACTTTTTAGAAATACTGCACAATTTGTCCAGTCAATTTTCTGGAATGTGAAATTATAATGTGAAAATCGCTGGAGTTCAGCTGTGAACAGAAGGAAAATTACTGGTATTCGCGCTTATTGTTTATTGTATAGTTTATTGTTCGAGATGTAGAACGCAGGGAAAGCGGCTGCATAGAGAGAGACTGCTGCGCTGGTGAAGACTGTGGCTGTTTACAGGGGTTTGACTGAAAAATATGAATTTGTAGCGAAATTGTTAACGGTGCCAAATAGATTTTCCTGTTGTTTACATCCATGTTACAACATACCGTTAATGCAAGACACTATGCATGTAATAGATACATTTTTACAAATAAAAATACTTGCAGGTTGTAACTCACAATCCACAGCTTTGTCTATTATGGTTGGAGCTGCTCCTTCTTTGAGGAGTTTTTAGCTGAATCCAGCACTAAGCTGGGAGAGATTCTGGAAGCTGTCCTTTGTCAAATGCTAGCTATATATATATTTTATAATTCTCTGGAACATAATTAAAATGAGACTGTCAGCAGTTCTCTTTTTGTGCCATGTCCTTTGGAAGCCCAAATACAGAAAAAGAACAAGCACTGTGTAAACAGCAGCGTTTGGACATCATTTCAGCTTTCTCTGCTATAACATTATAGTGCCCCGTTGCTGCGCCTGATGAATGTGTTTACCTGGATGTATGTTTTGTAGTCCCCAAAGTTTGTTTGCTGTAGGCTTTGCTAAGCTAACTCTGTAAAAGCCAATGCCTCTCTTTGCATTGAACTTTGAGCGTCTTACATTCAGAGATGTTATGTTCACACAGCTACATTACACATCAATTAAAGTGTAAAATATAATATTGTGTAGTGGACCACCCCTTTAATCCAACCATGTTAATGTGACTGCAATTTATTATGGAGTGAAAGGGGCTAATAGTATAATTAACCCAAGTAGTTATAGAAACAAAAGGGTTTGACTTTTACTCCATTTTACTTTACTCTGCACAATAAATGGGCCTCCAGGCTTTGTATGCACCTTCCTAACTGTAATCTTGATCATTTGCTTTTAGGTGTGTTTTAGGTAACACCACAATCCTGGCCGAGTTCGTAAGCGAAGAGGAGGTCGCTCGCTATTTTGCACATTCCCAGGCCGGAGCAGCTGGAAGCGGCAGCGGAGGGAGCGGGGCCGGCGGTGTGGCCGTCTCAGGGCCGGCAGGTGTGGCGGGATCATCAGGGGCTGGAGCCGTGGGTACAATCAGTGCTGCGAGTGGTGACCGAGAACGTGCCGCAGTAGGAAGTCTAACAGCAGGAGGAAGCAGCAACAGTGGTGGAACCGGCCCCTCAGGCTCTACGTGGCAGAGTTTGGATGGTACGGGCAGCTCGTCTGACCCAGCCTCAGCACAGGGAGCAGGCCTGAGCATTTTCGCCCAGTGGAGCAGCAACGGTGCTGGTGGCAGCAATGCAGCGGGCGTTGATCCCGGAAGAGCCGGGCTGTGGGGCGGCATGACTCCAGGCTACACAGGCAGCAGTCTGTGGGCTTCACCAGCCATGGAAGATCGGCATCAGATGAACAGTCCTGCCGCGCTGCTACCCGGAGACCTGCTAGGAGGAGGTGCAGACTCAATCTGACTGATGCAGACACTTACAGACAAATAAAAACACACACGCACACACATGACAGATATATAAATATAACCGTTATGTTATCTCAAACACACGCAGGAACACATTAATACGAATACAGGCGGTTTATGTATATGGCCTCTGCAACTCAGACAGCCACATAACGCATAAATATACAACAAAATATTTAGTATACATTCGTAACACCTATGTAGACCAGATTCAGTGATAAGCACTCAAACAGCAGATGCCAGGTAAACACTTAAGGAGCAGATCCACTGCATTACCAAACCTAGCAAAACGCATTAAGATGAAATTGTTAATGACACTGGTTACAAATGTACACACACTGTTATTATTATTATTAATATTATTATTTTTTACCTGAGCAGTGTTTTAAGCTCCTCGTAAATCTAATGTTGGTAGGAGCGCAGAGGAGCAGTGTGTGGACATAAGGCAGTACTGATAGACACGCGCACACACATATAGATACACACACACACACACACTCATTTCTTCTTATTCTTAAATGAAGACTTCAGCAAGACTTGAACAGGACATGCAAACAGTTGGACTTAAATACTGACTCAACTGGATGAATCCTAAACCTTGAGGTCATAAAGATCACACTCGCATACTGAGACGCTCTCACTCAGGCGTGCACTGTAAAGGAAAAAGCAGACAAAAAACAAAACAAAGGACAAAAATATGCATCATACAATGTTCGTTGAACGCTCGCGTTGTTACGGCTCCATTTCCATGCAGACTTAAATTACTCAAACACTGTTCTGATGTCTGACAAACTGTAACTTCTCGTTGTCTTTTTTATTTTTGTTTTTTGGTTTGTTTTAAATGATGGTGAAATCCAGAATTTGTTTTTTTTCCAAAAAAAAAAAAAAAAAAAACGCTGACCTCGGTTTTTTTTTTCTTTCTTCTTAATCGAGTATGTTGTCATAATGACGATCACTTGGATGTTACTTAGCTGTACAAGGTGCCCTTTCTGCCTGTGCGTGCATGAGTGAAGTCCCAGGTGATGGAGGCGACGTTCCTAGTGTTTTGCGAGGCATCGATGAATGTGTGGCAGCCAGAGATTAACAAGCGTGGTGTATTTACAAAGATCAGTGCTGGATTAGGGAGGTGAGTAAATGTATGAGTGACAGCTTTATTTCAGGTGTTTGATGTCTATGTGTGCATGATATGTATGCAGCTGTGGCTGTGAGTGTGTGTGTGAGAGTGAGCGAGTGTGTGTAGACAGCAAGTTCAAGAACATTGGCACTAATGAATATTTCTTAAGTTGTGGTTTTAGCAGCCTTTTCTGTTTTATATATTGTCTGAATTGCAATAATTATAATAAAGAAAAAAAGATTTTTTTAGAAGATGCAACCAACTGAAGGCATTCATACTGAAACATGAAACATGCCAAACCTTATTGTACCAAGCTGAGCTGGATATATGGGTGTTTTAGGAACACTTAAAAAGTACCAGTTGTTTATTTTTGTTGTTGTGTACCATTATAAATTAAGGCGGGCTTTATCACTCGTGTTCAGGTTTTTTTTCTGTTTGTTTGTTTCTGATTTTACAAAAGAAATTAATTTAAAAAAGAACAAGACAATTAATAAAGGTTGAATTTAATTTCGTTGTCAATTGTGTGCATTTTCATTTTTAAATGCTGTTTAATTTATACTATTAGATTCCATTTCCCTCTTCTATGCTGTAATTTTACAGGTTCTTTAGCCTCCGGTTTCAAATAGAGGATGTGGTTTATATTACATTTACATTTAGTCACACTTACAGTGAACACGTTTACTTGGACGTCAGTAATCTAATTATTTGCATTAATCTGAATAAGACAATAATATGATTAAGGTTTACTTACATGAGTTGCTTTTTGAATGTTACTTTCATGATTCTGTTTTACATGTTATAGCACAGATCGATTAACGTCATTGTGTCATCATGCTATCCACATTTCCTCCAGTTTCATGTCACTTTGTAATTTTCAAACTGCAGTTTGGCACTTTCATTTAGGAACATTAGTGTGTTGTTTTAATGGATATTGATACTGCATGCCAAAGGGGAGAGAGAAAAATTTTTTTTTTCCCATTTGTGTATAGACTATCCTGTAGCAAACTGCGGTGAAAAGTTCTACTCGACAGTAACATGTCTGTACTGCACTTCAATACTGCGACTAAAATCGGCATAGTCTTCATGTCTTTATTCCATTTCTGTATAGTACAATTATCGCCTTAATCGGATTAAATCAGCCATAAATAGCTGTTTACATGATAGACTCTTAATCAGAGAATTATCTTAATCGCATTAAAATCGGATTATTGGTGTCCATGTAAATGTACTCAATGAGAAGGTATTCAGTGATTCAACATAAAGAGGCAGTGCACACAAGAAGTGCTAATTAAACAAAGGAACTCTGTTAGTGCTCGGAGAATTACGTGATAGAGTTAGGAGGTTAAGTGGTGTTTGGTGTTCATAGAGAGAAGAGTGTTTTTGCAGGTGCTTTATCGAGCCCACTCGCCTGTTTGAAGCACACTTCACAAATGCACAATGTTTTTTTTTTTTTTTTTTTTTTAAAGAAAATAGAGGGATTTGAAAGAAAGTGTCTCTTGCAGAACCAGTGCAATTGTCAGTTAAAGTATCAGAAGGAAGAGTGTGACTTCTACAGGTGGATTGTCAACCCCACTCACCTGTGTGAGGTACACTCAGAACTGCATAGAGTTCGATTTGCATTATGCTTTCAGGTTTTGGTGTGGTGGGGAGGAGGGAAAAGATTATATTTCGGAGGGGTGTAAGATGATTGGCTTTGAGAGCTCTAAGAGCTTGTGGGAAGAATCTTTTGAGTAGTCTATTCGAGCTGGCTCTAATACTTGAAACTGTTTTCTGAGGCAAGAGCTGGAGGAAGCTATTAAGTGCTTAAAGATTTTAGACTAGTGGTTTTCAGCCTTTTTGACTTCCATTATACACAGAAGTATGTATGTGCATTACACATTTTAGTATTTTAGGTACTGTTTAGTACTGTTTTTAATAAACAGGCTGCCCTCTTTATACATAAACACACAAACACAATGACAAATGAACTCGGCCAACTGTGTTAATAATATCAATAAGCAATATGATGTCAATCCAATCATGTATGAACGTTTTTTTCAGAAGATTTTTTGTGGAGGTAACCACTGTTTACGTAAGATGCCAAATTTGTCATTCCAGAATAAAGTCTGGATATGTTTATTAAAAAGGTGAAATACTAACAAAGTGTCATATTTTTGGGTCAGACTCTGTCTATAAATCGTTTTGTTGGAATGTACTATTTGTTGGTTGTCAGTTGATACTCATTACTACTGTTGCAACAATTTATTTTTAAATACATGATTGATTACAGCTTTAAAAATAGCCATAGATGCTGGTATATGCCAATAAAAGCAAGTAGACCAATACATGCAAATATTTGAAAGTCTTAGTTTTAATTGTGTGTGTGAGAGAGAAAGTGAGAGAATCACTTTAAGAACAAAAGTTTTCTTAATAAACATCTTGTTTTTATTTATTAAAGTTTTTTATATTTTATTTGTCTAGATCACACTTTTCTGAATACCTAAATTTGCTGTGACAGTTGAAATTGGTTTCTCAAAGAATGAAAATCTTGAGTTTTGATGAATTGTTTTGATGCTTGCATGCTTTTATGCTTTCATAAGTCATTTTGAGGTATTCTACTGGGTCTTGGAGCCCAGGGTTGAGAACCACCAATGAAGACTGCCACATTTAAGTGTTATGAGCAACAATGTTCATTTATTTATTGCCATCGTTATTGCCTTGAAAATCCCGACTTAACAGGCTGTCTATGAATAATATAAATAAAATAAAATATGCTTACAAGATAATGCAGAAATCCTGGAATGTAATTTTAGTCTCATGCAAAGAAAAGGGATAAATTCAAACTAGTCTTGCTCAGCTAAATCTTTTAAATATATGTGCATTTTTTCTTTCTTTTTTTAAATATTTCTGAAATGATGTTTGTCAGAGCAGGGAAATCTTCACAGTATGTCTGATAATATTGTTTCTTCTGGTTTTATTTCGGCAAGAATAAAAGCAGTTTTTAATTTTTTAAAGCATTTCAAGGTCAATATTATCATCCCCTTTAAGCTATATTTTTTCAGCAGCCTACAGTACAAATCATCATTATACAATAATATGCCTAATTACTCTAACCTGCCTAATTAACCTAGTTAAGCCTTTAAATTCCCCTTTAAGCTGAATACTAATCTTGAAACATCTAGTCAAATATTATATACTGTCATCATGGCATAGATAAAATAAATCAGTTATTAGAAATGAGTTATTAAAACTATTTTAGAAAAGGTGTTGAAAAAAATCTTCTTTCAATTAAACAGAAATTGCGGCAAAATATTGGGGTGGGTGGGTGGTTATAATTTTGATTTGAACTATATATAGACAATATTTACAGCATAATTCAAGTACCTCTTTTGAGGACACCATGTTGGTGAATTGCAGAGTTTGTGAAAAACTTATCCATATTGCTCTAATCATAAGCTTTCTTTTTTTCACAGCTGTCTAATTTATTTTGTGTGGACAGGACTTTCAGCTGTGGATGGCATTGGGATGTTAGGTAACATTGCACTGGTTACCAACATTTTTAAAAATATTTTATTTTTGTGTTTAACAGAAAAAAAAGAAACTCAAATGTTTGGTGAGACGCCTACAGTTTCATTTTTGAGTGAAGAATCCGTTTAAGAATGACGTATTTCGCAATAAAGACTCACTGGCTGTAGATCATTCACGTCTACTTATCAAATCATTAAATATATGAAATATTATAATGAATGGAACCATTTTAAAATAAAAACAGAACCAGAGTAAGGCTTGGAGAATTATGTTTATTTTTAAAAGCCAAATTCGTGTTTCCTCGTTGACGTATTTTTCTAATGATTATATTTATGTTATTATAATGATATTTCTCTTCGCTGAGTGTTGTAGTGGGTCGCGTGCGTGTCGTGTGTACGAGCAGTGTGGACGGGAATGAGGCTGCGTACACACGTCAAGCGCGCGGCCCCTTGAAGTGATCCGGGTCCTTCCGCTAGTTTGTGAATGACATCATTTCTGTGAGAAGTGCGCTGCGATACAAACAAGGGAGGCTGCCGCTCGCTAGCCCGCTAATGCAAGTAGGTCAATCCTCGTGCTGAGAAATAAAATCGAGGATTTGAAAACCTGAGGAGGAAAAGCAGAGGTTGGGATTACATTTGTGATGAGACCTTTAAAAATTCGCTTGCACTCTTCGCTGTCCAGGGTCCTGTCTTACGAGCGCAAGCCTGTCAACCAGCCCCACTTTTCCACCACCCTCACGTTAGGTAAGAAAGATTTTAAAGGTCATTTCAGGACACGAGTGTTTAGATTCATTTAGCTGTCCAGGATGGATGTTAACGTCACCTACGGTTTGTGAAAGCTCGGGATCAGCGCGGTTTTGGGTGCGGCTGCTACAAAATTGGCTGAAAAACGCTGAAGACAGATTTCGTCTTGTGTGTTCAGCTGTGCGAACGACGTAAAACACCGACCCAAATGCTTCATGGATCAATAGATTGCGTATTTTATTGCTTTAGTTATATGATCTGCGATGCTGCTCGAGATTGAATATTAACCTGTTCGTTGCAAATGAACAGCAAACTGTGTTCGGATCACATCACATGACTCAGATGTCAGATGTTAGATGCATGACTGCCAGTGCAGCTTTTCTGAATGCTGCTGAAATAAACATTTGTGATTGTTAAAGTAGTGTATTTATCTGCATCATATTAATGTCTTGCATGATTTTAAGGCTGACTCTAAGGAAGAAATCATGGAGTTGCGTGTTGGAAGTAAATATCGCCTCGGGCGAAAGATCGGAAGTGGCTCCTTTGGTGATATTTACTTGGGTAAAACCTGTTATTTACTTGAAATGGCTGCTGATATAGGTTTCAAGAGGTTTTTTGTGTGCTCATGCTGTTAAAAATCACACCTTGCAGGTGCAAACATCACATCTGGAGAAGAGGTAGCCATTAAGTTGGAGAGCGTGAAGACTAAACATCCACAATTACATATTGAGAGCAAGTTTTATAAGATGATGCAGGGTGGAGGTGAGAGAGGATCCCTCTGTTTTCCTTCACGATACTGAGAATTGGTTTGAGAAATGTGTTTTGAATTTTCCCTAATTGCAGTGGGTATTCCCTCCATCAAATGGTGTGGTGCTGAAGGGGACTATAATGTCATGGTGATGGAGCTCCTGGGTCCGAGCTTGGAGGACCTGTTCAACTTCTGCTCAAGGAAATTCACACTTAAAACTGTCCTGCTGCTGGCAGACCAGATGGTATTTGCCTTGAATATGTATTTGCTTTGTTTAATTTTGGAGTTAGTTATCTGAAAGAATATCTCGACCTGCACCAGTTTGCTACAGATGTGATGTATTGTGTCTTACGTGCGATTACTTTTGTAAGTCAGAAAAGTTGGTGGGTAAAATGGGCAAAATCCTGTAGATTTATATTAAATGAGACTTTTTATTTTGTGTCACAACAAAATAACAACTATATAATACCATGGCAGCCAGCTTCAATGCCTTTTGGTCAATTGCAAGTTTCACTATTCATTCATTCATTTTCTTGTCGGCTTAGTCCCCTTATTAATCCGGGGTCACCATGGAATGAACCGCTATCTTGTCCAGTAAGTTTTTACGCAGCGAATGCCCTTCCAGCCGCAACTCATCTCTGGGAAACACACACACACACACACAATGGACAATTTTAGCTAACCCAATTCACCTGTACCGCATGTCTTTGGACTGTGGGGGAAACCGGAGCACCCAGAGGAAACACACGTGAATGCAGGGAGAACATGCAAACTCCACACAGAAACGCCAACTGAGCCGAGACTCAAACCAGCAACCCAGCGACCTTCTTGCTGTGAGGCAACAGCACTACCTACTGCGCCACTGCCTCGCCCAAGTTTTCACTATATAAAACATTATTCATGAAGGTGTAACTGTTCACAAAAACAATGGATTATGCACCTTGATTTTGAAATTCGGTAGATTTACACAACAATTGATTGATTACAAGAGATGTTCATGATGTTTGAAATCACTTAGCCTCATCAAACAGTGGAAGAAATTGTGTAAAAGGTAAATAATTGTAGTAAAATAGACAAAATGTGAAAGACCATGTTTTATTGTTTTTGTTAGGAACAAAACAAAGTATTGTGATGACTGGATTGGAGGTGCGATGCACAGCTTTTAATGAAATTTTTTGTTCACATATCAGCTTAGATTGAAAGACCAGTATCAAGATATAGGGAAATATTGATTCATTAAAAGAAGTATATTACCAGGTTGCAACTGGAAGGGCAACCGTTGTGTAAAACATATGCTGGATAAGTTGTCAGCTGGATGAGTTGTCAGTTCAGTTTATGGTGACCCCTGATAAATCAGGGACTAAGCCGAATGAAAATAATTGAATGAATGAAAAATGAATATGCATATTCTGTATTACTTTGATAAACATTTAATGAACTGAAAGACATATATCATAGCATAACTGGTGCATGATGCAATGATACATGTATAAAATACTATAAAACTGATTATTAAATGTCTGGCTGCAGAAATAAGGTTTTCAGGGTTCCCGTGAGTCATGGATCTGCAATATCATGGGAAAAGTCTAGTCCATACTTTGGAAGTCAGAGAATTTTATTTTTATTATTTTATTTGTCCAAGTCCTAGAATATCAATAAACTTAGTTTCTCAGTTTAAATTTTACTTTGCTTTTATTAAAATGTACCTTTTTTGTGTGTTCCTTTTATGTTTTTGCCTATTTATATTTTTCCTATTTTTCAGTGCCTATTTATTCCTTTTGCACTTAAGTCAAATGTTGTCACCAGGCTGTATATTGGATAAAATCTTGGTCATACAGGTGAAAAAGGGGTTTGTAGCCACAATATTAGCTAGCTAGTTCTCAACTATATTATTCTGAAGTGTAGCCTATATTAGGTAACATATACATTGTCATTGACAGAATTAAAAATGTAGCTAATTAGTAGGCCCAGACAGAATCTGTGGACAATTTTTGCTATTTCTGCTGAGAATTTTGATAAAAAATCTGCAGATTTATGCAGAATCATTTTGGGAGTATCATAACTAAAAACTTAATATATGAAATTAAAAAATATTAGCTTTTTAACTTTTATTTAATGATTACAATGCATTTCCATCTATAGATTCACAAATTTGGTAAACAAAGCAAGTCTATCATATAAAATCACTTTACAAAATGTATTGTAAATAATTCAAGTGAACACTTTCATATTAGTCAATATTATTACTTAAATTAATTTAAAAACTGAATAAATATAAATTTACACACATTTACACAAGTAAATAAATGAACTCAACGATGAGCTAAAAATCTGTGCATTTCTCTGCATGCAGATTCTGTGTGGGCCTACTCATTAGTAGTTTCGAGCTAATTATTATTAACTTCTACTATTTTTTTAACCTCTGCCACTTGTTTTAATTATTTAAACTCCTAGATTTGTCTAACGGAATCACTGATTAATGTTATAGACTAATTAAAAAGATTGACAAGGCCTTTGAGTTTAATACAGCAATTCAATCTAATTTTTATAGTGTAGCTTTGTTTGGGGTTTTAGCGTCAGAATCCTGAACAGATATGATGTGACACCTTGATAAAAGAAAAAGGTTCCTTTTTGGCTGCTCTGTGCTTATTATAGGTCATCAAAATTCAGAGTTTTAGTCAGGAATTTGACATTTAGCTTAGAATGGGAACCCTGCTATTTGCTTTTGTTGCCTAATTTGTTTGATGGTTATTCATTCCAGATTAGCCGAATTGAGTACATCCACTCCAAGAACTTTATTCACAGAGACATTAAACCAGATAATTTCCTGATGGGGCTTGGCAAGAAGGGAAACCTAGTCTACATCATAGACTTCGGCTTGGCCAAAAAGTACCGTGATGCCCGCACACATCAGCACATTCCCTATCGTGAGAATAAGAACCTGACTGGTACTGCCCGCTACGCCTCCATTAACACTCATTTGGGCATTGGTAAGGTCACTCGAAGGCCACTAAAACTCTTCCTTCTGGTAAAAATGGACTTTTTATTTTGGGTTAGGCTAAATTTACCTTGTGCTTCCACAGAGCAATCTCGACGGGATGATCTTGAATCCCTTGGCTATGTACTTATGTACTTCAACTTGGGTTCTCTTCCCTGGCAAGGCCTGAAAGCAGCCACTAAAAGACAGAAGTATGAGCGAATCAGTGAAAAAAAGATGTCAACCCCCATTGAGGTTCTTTGCAAGGGCTTTCCGTGTAAGTTTGACTATAAAATGTATCAAATAAATCAAAACGTAACGTCTCATTTAACACTTTATTTCTATGTTTCTAGCGGAATTTTCAACCTACATGAACTTCTGCCGCTCACTCCGATTCGATGACAAGCCTGACTACTCCTACTTGAGACAGCTGTTCAGGAACCTTTTCCACAGACAGGGTTTTTCCTACGACTATGTGTTTGACTGGAACATGCTGAAATTTGTATGCTCTTTAAACAATGCATTATTTAAAGCAGCGCAGTTCAAATCTGCATTCGTTTGCTCACGTTGTGGCTTTTTTGTATCTGTGTCAGGGCTCTAGCAGAACAGCTGAGGAGAAAGAGAAAGAGCAGAGAGGAGAGGGAGAAGAGAGGGATGAGAGGACTGGAGGTGGACCGCCGGGTTCTGCGGCTCGTGCTTTGCCCTCTGGCCCAAACCTCCCAGCTCCCAACAGGGTCCGCAATGGCCCAGACCCTCCCAGCTCCACACCTGCCTCCCGTGTACCTCAGTCTGGTGAGTCTCAAGGATAACTCGCATTGAATCCAATGCAAACAGATGCATGCAGTGATGTGGATTTCTGTATCTTCTGATGTTGGTTGGATGCCCTGTGTATATAACATGTCTTATAATATGCTTAATAATATTGTGCAGTGCTGTAAAGTGGACATCACGGAGCTGCTGTGTGAATATGCAGGGTGATGAATTGCTTTTGAATGCGCAGTACTTTACTTGCACTTTCGCTTTTGAAAAATGCAATCACACATACTCTGTGTATATAGAGGTTGTTGCTAGATCAAATACAGTTGCGGCTTTAAGTTAACGAGAATTATATAAATAATTTATTAATTATCATTTCCTATTTATTGTATTTTATTACATCTACCCCAACCCTAAACCCAACTCTCACTGTAATGCAAAAACAGTAGTTGCACCGAGTATGTTATTTATTAAATTACCCAATAAATTATATTTTATTAATGCCTACACCCCCCACACCCCAACACTGAACCCAACCGTCACAGTACTGTAAAAATATTAATTATTGTTACGCAATGTTACAAAAATGATGCTATATAGATGACTGCGTATCTGCAGCTGTATCCTATTTAGACTTTACCGTATATAGGAAGCTTTGGTACTGACTGCATATTTTACAAAATAACTTAACTCGCTTTATTTGTTATGGCTGAACACCATGTAAAAAAACACAGTAGTACACATGCTATATTGACTGACTCTTCATTTATACATCACGCTGGATTTAAGGGTCTGAAAATTGCAAAATCTTGAGTTTTCAGTTATTGTGCTTACAGTACATGTGGATTAAAGGGATAGTTCACTCAAAAAGGCAAATTCTGCCATCATTTACTCAGCCTTTACTTGCTTCAAACCTGTTTGACTTTCTTTTCTCTGTTAAACACAAAGCAACCAGCAGCCATTGACTTCCATAGTATTTTTTTGTTCCTACTATTGATGTCAATGGCTGCTTTTTTCTATTTTTCTTTAGAATATCTATTTTTTTTGTTGAGAAATACATAAAACTTTAAAATAATTTCAGTGAGTAAATGGTGAAGGATACATTTTTTGTGAATTATCCCTTTAATAACATCAGCACTGCATAAGTGAGGGATTTCATGTAGCGGTGGGGTGCGTGGCGCAGCATTCTTCAGCTTCTATGTGTGCAAACTATTGCATTACATAGTTACATAGTGTATCATATAGTAACATCGACAGCTTTAAACAAACTCAACTCTTGATTCAAGGTAAATTATTTAGGTTTTTAAAACAGCTAAAGTTGACCAAACTAAAATATGAAACTATTACATATTCATTTTATTGGCTTTTAATTATACATGGCAAGTGAATAATATTTACTTTAGGAAGATTATAAATTATAATTGAAAGATTTTGTAAATATTTGTTGATTTGTTCCTCCTTCCTTCTTTCTTATTGTTAGCTGGCTGATAACATACCTGTACACTAGTGATGGCCAGTAACATCCTGCTGCAGAGGCCACACTAGATTCAGACCACTTAATCCAGATTTCCAAGTGGGAGAGACTTCACCAGAAGCAGGCTGGTTATGGCTAGAAGTGTAGCCTATATCTGCGACTAATCAGAATGTGCACATACTGTACGTCATTTTTGTGATTCAGTACAATAATAAAACAGTTTTTTCATTACTGTAAGGGGTATGTTTAGGGTTGAAGTAGGTGTGAATGTTAGCTAAACATAATAGGTTGAAGAAACATAACCTAAATATCTCATCACCTACAGTAAAAAAATGGTATGGTTCATTATATCGATCAAAATGAATATCAATACAAAAATCAAATTAATTATCTGTAGTATTTTGTGTAATGTAATTAATAACTACATATAATTTATGTTGACATTCTTGGAATAGCTTATTTAACTATACAAATCCGTGACTGATACATCCCGTATATGGTATGCCCGGTCTGGATCTAATGGCCTGAAACGTGTGTGGGTGTACAAGCTTTGCAGCTGAATGTATCTTGTGATGATTCGAAGCCTTTATGTTTCTTTTTTTTCAGTAGCAGGGTCACATGATGTCAATATTGGGTATTTGTTACATCATAACTGTTTTCAAACTTATTGAAAATTCAAACTTTCGTGAAATCCACATGAATTGTGCGAATTCGCTCAGATCGCCCCGGTGGCAAATCACTGAACTGGTTTCATTGGTTTTACCAGTTTAAAATAGTTTGCATACATTTTAATGAGGCATTTGTAAAATAAATAGGAACAACATTAGGTAATAGTCTCTTGTTGTACAGTTTAGCAGAGCCCACCATTTAATAAACTATATATAAGCCTTGAAAATAAACAAAGTATTTAGACACTTAATACCTACTGATTTTAAATGATAAGCTATGTGGATTTGTAAATTATCATTTAAATTTAAAGTTTGCAATATGTTTAAATAAAAAACTAATGCAATCTAATTTGCTTAAATGTTTTTTTTACTTACACCATTTTGACCACCAGGCGGTGTTTCGGATGCTTCAAAACATTCATTTGTTTTGAGAAGCAAGTAATTATTTTCTCTTATCAATACTGCACACTACAGGATATAACCGATCCTTGTGCTAGTCCTGTTGGCCGTTTTTTTGCTGATCATCAACATGATCGAATGGAGATTTGTTGAGCTATTGTGATACTATAATGCTCTCTCACTTTCCTTTGACTTAGTCCCAGATTTAATAGGGGTAGCCACAGCTGCGTGAACCACCCATTATAATGCTGTACATGCTTTAAAAGAGAATGTCTTTGTCATTTGCTGTCTATTGATGTGGTATGAATTTGCATCATTTAGGAAAAATCCCAGTTCTGATTTCTTTAACCCTTCCCTTTGGCCATTGAAAGAGAGTGAAGGGGAAGGGTTTCAAAAGTACCCCTAAGAAATGGGACACCATTACAACACCTGCACGTCATCATATTCACCGCAAGCTATTACGTCATGAATTCAACCATGGCGACTGCTTTAGTTATTCCAGTTGTGTTATGGTTTTAGTGTTTATCTTCAGGAAATCACTAAAGGCAACGATATCATGTTATCATAACAAGACAATTTGGCAATATGCTCCTAACTGTACTGTGCATTTACACTGTGGCCATAATCATCTATTTAATCACAAGAAAACAACATTAACTTGATACCGGATACTGTAAAAAGCTCATTTCCAGTCACTAGACTTCTCTGTCAGGGTATTCGAGTATCATCAAGTGACAGATTTAAAAATTTGTTGTGGGACCCGTATGCAGCTGTTATTATGGATTAAAGACTTTTTTTAAAGCATGACCATAAAACCCAAACACTGTTATGAATGTATTAAAACATATGCATGTTTGTTGTAAAAAGTCATAATAATTCCAAAAATACCTACATTTGTGCATCTCCTTATAAAGGGCTAAGGGCTAGATTTGGGATTGAGCATTCGTCACAATAATATCAATCCAAACCTATAAGAAATTTTAGTTCTCTCTTCAGATTACAAAATTAATTAAAAAAATTAAATAAATACACAAATTTATATATATATATATATATATATATATAAATTTTTTCCATTCATTTGATAGTCTATTTACCTAAATATCTGATGCTTACATTTTTAAATATATATCAGTCAAGCAGTTTAATCCATGTCTTCTAAAGAGACAGGACCAAATTATATGATAAACATATTTAACACCTTTAACAGGGGCTGTGTGATTAATCAAAATCAAATTGTTGTGATTATCTAATCGCAAGAGGCTGTGATATAATATATATATTATTTAACTTTCCCCACCCAGAGGAAATGCATGACTGCCATCTTACTAGCCAATTAAGTGAGCACACTTTCATTCTGCCCAATCAGAATTGTGCAACCGAACTATGCCCACAATAAAACAAACAAACAAACAAATAAACAAACAGGAAAGCGCGAACGAGTGGGATGATGGCATCTCCTGCTAATGAACTATTTAATATGGAAGAAAAACAGCTCGTCAGTAATATGGGAATATCTTGGTTTCAAAGTCACACACACAAAACAAAACCAAGTAATTTGTAAGAGCTGTTGCAGAACGAGTAAATACAACAACCAGCACCTAAAAAAGCACCACAGGAAGAGCGTCTTGCTTAAAAGTCAGCTACAACTGTCAGTGACACTCAATCTAGTAGCAAGCAACAGCAAAGTACAATATCAGAAATGTTTGCTAATATAAGTTGATATCTTTTAAGTTCCTTTTTTTACTATCACTCGCTGCATTTTATCAGTTAGAATCTTCAATACAGATTGAGCTGAAGCTTGACTACAAAATTAAATCGCAAATCAAATCGAAATCGCATTATCTGTCAAAAAATTTGATGATTTCCCCAAATCGCACAGCCCTACCTTTAACCATCAAAGCTTGACACACACTGTACACTGAGACACACATGAATGTACCTAATTTTTCCCTTCTCATTGGAGCATTAGTGAGCAGATTTGAAAGGTCAATTAATTCTGTCTATCATAAATTCAGGATTTCTGTGGTCTTTCTGAGTGTCAGGGTATCAGGTGAATACACTTTCAATGGACAGACAGATATCTCTCAGTTTTAAAATGATCTTCATTTTTGTCCTGTAAAGAAACAAAGGTCTTCTGTGTTTGAAGTGAAATTAGGATGAGTTTTAGAGTGAAGCCACTCTTTAACGAGGACTGGGGTTGTTATTGATGTCTGTTCTATTTATAAGCCGGTTATTTCTGAAGTATGTGGTTCATCTTCCTTATGAAAGCATATCCTCGTGACCTTCTGTGCTGTTAGTATCTGAAATCTGCACACACAGCCTACTTGTTGTTTTGTCTTTTAGGAAACGCATCGCCGAGAGCAGGCCGAGGAGCCGAGCGGGAAAGGAGAGTGTGTTTACGGCTGCACCGCGGCGCTCCTGCCAACGCCTCCCCTGATCTCCCACTCCGTCATGATCAGATCCGCATCACTCCCCCACAGGTCTCCATTCACACAATGCTGCTTTGCTTAAAGGGATAGTTCACCAAAAAAAGATACCTCACTTTAGCTCAATCAAAAAAGAGTTTGAGTTTCTTATGTTTGAAGACAGAATGTTGGAAGACAAACAGTTGATGTTATTTAATGACATTCATAAATGGAAAATAACTTCTTTTGTTCAAACCTCTCTCTGTCTCTCTCACACAGGTCAGCGTTCCATTCGAACACATGGGGAAATGAGCTCTGCAACATCTCTGTCATTTACTGTTTTTAGGCGGTTAGTTATTATTATTTATCTATTTATTTTTATTTATTTATATATTTTAACAAAAATGCAGTTACTTGAAAACACATCTTGTATGATGAGAATGTTTTTTTATCAATATATACACAGTTGAAGTCAAAATGGTAAGCCGTCAGTTTTTATCTCTTTCAAATATTTCCCAAATTATATTCAACAATCAAGGTATTTTTTACAGTATTTCCTATAATATTTTGTCTTTTGGAGAAAGTTTTATTTGATTCATTTCATCTAGAATAAAAACAGTTTTTATTTTTTTAACCATCTTAAGGTCAGTATTATTACCTCCTTAAGCTATATTTTTTTCCATCGCCTACAGGGCAAACCATCGTTATACAATAGCTTACCAAATTAACCAATTAACCGAGTTTTAAATATCACTTTAAGCTGAATATTAGTATCTTGCAAATTTTCTTGTAAAATATAATGTATTGTCATCATGGCGATGATAAAATAAATTATTAAATTTATGATTAGAAAATAGTTATTAAAATTATTATGTTTAGAAAATTTATATTAGAAATTGTTATGTGTTGAAAAAATCTGTCAGTAAAACAGAATTCATACATGCACACACACATACTGAAATTTAGCAATGGTTGGTTCACATTATTTCAGATAATATTCCTTTTTCTGGAGTCTTATTTCTTTTAGTTTGAAATGAATAAAATCAGTTTAAAAAACAATTGAAGGTCAGTGTTATTAGGCTCCTTAGGCTACAGTATATAAACCACTGTTATCCAATGAATTAACCTAGTTAAGCCTTTAAATGGCACTTTATGCGCTTTAATAGGATCTTGCAAAATATCTAGTGAAATAATATGTACTGTGATCACAACAAAAGCAAAAGAAATGAATTATAATAGAAATAGAAACAGAAATGTGTTTAAACTTGGGATTTTTTTTTTTTTTTAAAGATTTTCAATTTAACAGAGGGGCTAATGATTTTGACTTCAACTATATATACAGCCTATAGAAGATCATCATACCCTGTGAAAATCTATACCTTTACTCACATTACAGCCTGATGACCAAACGATATTTCGGATTAAGTTGTAGAGAGGCACAGGTTAGGAGAAGGCTACAAAAACATTTCAAAGTTATTTGGAATATGATTATGATGAATAAAGTTATTATTTAAAAGGGCAATGGTGATTTTTCTATGAGCACTATATATTTTTATTTTAAATAGTAGTTATATTTCATATTATCATTGTCTTTTTTTAAAGGGCACCTATTTTACCTCTTTTACAAGATGTATGATAAGCCTTTGGTTTCTCTAGAATGTCTGTATAGTTTCAGTTCAAAATACCCATCAGATAATTCATTGTAGTCTCCAGAATCTGCGCCTTTTGGTGTCTTGAGTACAGTCTGTAGTGTGTCTGTTTCTCATCATGCGCTACATCAGATAAACAGCAGTCAGTGACAGAGACAGACATGAATGAAGCTGAAATGTAGCTCAGTAGTCAAAAATAACAAGTAAGTTTATTTTTGGTGGAGTTTATTCAAGCCTTTCTGAAATGATGAGTCACACACAAATGCCGTTTGCAGTGCACACCAAGGTACACACACACTGACATATTAGCATTTACTGACACCATGTGGCCGTGGTGATTATAGGGGTTAAGAATTACATAGCGATTTTATTGTCTTTATTACCAACATGCTCTGTTTTAAAAATGTTTTTAAACTAATAAAATGTATAAAAATCACAGAGAGTTGTTGTAACAAATATTTTAATCTCAGTTTATTTATTAACATTACAGAAATCATAGGAACATAGCGCCTTTTAATTCAGTGGGCGGGGAAAACCGTACTCCTACATCACGTTGTGGTGGGTTTCAAAATCACTGGAGTTTGGGTCCTATTTTAACATCAGGAAATTTCAATAAAGAGACTTATTGTCTTTCTATTACTTTAATATGACTGTGGACACACTATACCCACACACAGTTCTGTTCAAACAGCTTACCCAAGTTGATTTTCATTATAGATGCTCTTTAAAGAACACAGCCTTGATGAGCAAAAGAGACTTATTTCAGAAACAATATAAAGTTCCCACGTTCTGTTTTTTCCACTCATACTAATGTAAATGATTTTTCTTTATTTTACAGGATTACAACTGACAACTCCCCTAAAACATTTATATTCATCTTTCTATGTAAAACGGGAGTGTGACACAGAGGCAAGAAGCAGAAGGCAAGAAACCACATTTTTGTAATGGACAAGTGCTCCCCCGTCCTCACGCACTGCAGGTTGAAGAGACATGGCAGATACAGACGCATGTGGACAGTGGATACGAGGATCACGAGACTCTCGCGAAGTGGAAAAGAGAATTTCTACCGACAGCCTGGTGAAGGTTATTCTGGTTGTTCTCTGTTTTGTCTGAAATGCTGGGAAAAAAAACGAAGGACTTGCTTGTTGGACTGTAAAGTTTCAAATGAATATTGATAGAATGTAACAAATGTATCCCTCGCACTGTTACTTTAACACACAGAAAGTGTTGTATGTTGACACCTTACTGACGTATGAGGTTTTTCGTGGAACCGTCTTTACATGTTAAATATTAAATATGCAAAAGTAACCAATTTCCCAGAATGTTGTTTCCAGTCAAACTGGTGTTTGGACTGCAGATGTCACTCAATGAATGTGTCATGATTGTGCATTGGAGGTATTGTTGTCAGCGTTGGCCATAGTAAACTAACCTAAAGATCAATTTGAGCATTAATATTAAAGGCCTGAATTCTACTCAAAGCCAAACAATGTGGTGGACTGAAACTTTTAAGTGGAGACTCCTGCATTGACATTAGCCATGACAACCTCATTTATAAATAAACACACATATCAAAGTACAAGTGTTTCGGCTTGTTGAGCTTGGGCATCTTTTTTGTTTAGTCAATTTATTTAAACATTTATTTATTATGTTTAGTGTGTTTGTTTTAATTTAGTTTTGTTTTAGAATTGCATATGGCCAAATCTGTTTACTAGTATTCTAGTGTTTTTTATTTTAGTTTAAGGATTATTAATAATTAATTATCAAGACTGGGTTGTCTTACAAGTCAATTTATTCCTTTTCCTTTGACTTAGTCCCTATATTCATCAGGGGTCGCCACAGCGGAATGAACTGCCAACTTATCCAGCATATGTTTTACGCAGTGAACGCCCTTCGAGCAACAACTCAGCACTGAGAAACATCCATACACACTCAGTCACACACACACTAAAGCCAATTCACTTATAGCGCATGTTTTTGGACTTGTGGGGGAAACCGAAGCACCTGGAGAAAACCCACGCCAACACAGGGAGAACATGCAAACTCCACACAGAAATGCCAACTGACGCAGCTGGGACACAAACTGGTGTCCTTGATGTGAGGCAACAGTGTTAACCACTGAGCCACCATGTCGTCCCCTTACAAGTCAATATTAGATTCAATTTATACAATGGGTAAACACAAGAAGCACATTCAGAATAAAACTGATATTTTAATAAGTAATAATGCAATACTTATTGCATTAAATAAATGAATAAATAACAAAATTACAGTTAATCATATGGCGCATTTTTTATGCAAACAAAATTCAACTACAAATAAATGATAATTTCATGAGTTAAAACTACAAAGTATTTAATATAACAATATAATTCTAACACATTAACCCTTTACCTGCCTGCTGTACCAAATGGATGACCATTTTTGGACTGTAATCCTGTTGCACTATTACACTTGATTTTGGTTGTATTGTTAAAAAATAACAAGAAAACATGTTAAATGAGAATCTGGAATATTTTATGGCGTTCTTCAAAAAAATAAAGATGATTTAGTATTCAGAAATGTTTTATTTTGATTATGTTTTAAATAATTTGGTCCTACACTTCGTATTTTTTAGATTTTTCATATCATGTCTAATAATTTTGGTACTTTTACCATAAACTGACATATCTAGGTAAGGGTTGATATTTTAGAAATTATGGGATGTGTTGAAAAATAATGCATTGAGTTAATTATCGACAGTAGGAGTTAAGAAATGCCTTTTTTTTCTTGGTGGGGCCAGTAAAGGGTTGAAAAAAAAAAGTTCAGTGTTGCATAATTTATAAAAAGATTTTTTTATTTGTTTTATTATGCTTTAAACAACACATACACGACAATATAGTAAACAAAACAATGCCAGGGTGATAGAAGGTAACAGCATAAATGAATGAATAAATAAATAAATAACACAAAAAAACAAGAGTAAAATTAAATAAAATTCTTGCAATTACAAACAAGCAGGACCTTTACATTAATCAAAACTTTTGAAAGCAGAGCACAAATAGACAGTTTTAATGGCCTTTCTATATTAGCACTCTGCTGAACAGTACAAAAGTAATTTTCAGTTCCTTATAAAACTTTGTTTGGGCATTTTACACTTATGAATATGAAACTTAATCGACAAAATAAATAAATTAATAACAACAACTTAATTATTCAAATTATCATAATCAAAATATCCAGAAAATTACATTTTCAAAATGCAAATTAAAATGAAAGAGCACCTTTTTGTTAAAGACAGAAGCATCATACCAAAGCCTTTTAACATAACCACAGAGCCAAAAGATGTGAGGTAGGCTAGTTTACAAATGCAAAGAACAAAAAGAGCATATCAATATCCTTTTTAAATATGAGAAAATGTTTAAAAGGATACAATTTATGAATTAGTTTTAAGGATATTTCTTTTATTTTATTTGTAACAAAAAATTGTGAGGCAATGACCAAATACTTTCCCATTTAAGAATTCTTACTACATTTTTCCAATAGGTAATAAGAGCTAGGCTTGGAAACAGCTTGGTTTAAAAAAGAGAGCGAATTGGTTTGTTATTTTTGGACTGTGAAAAGCAAATTTTACCACACATTGTATCAGCTAGACTGATGGGCATTTGAGTCCAAGTTACATCTACATAAAATGTACAAGGAACTCATCATACGTCATAAGATACCCTTGAGTGTTAAACAACTGACAAGCTAAAACATGCATAATTTCTCAAATAAATGAAAGAAATTTTTCTAAAACGCGTCACTTGAGTAGCGACTTTTATTATGAAGTTTCTAAAGCTGTAGAAAAAGAAGAAAAACGGGGCAGCTTGTTGTCGTGGACTTCACTGCCGCTTCAGACTTTTATCCTCGTTAAACTAATCCTCAAGAGATTTGATTCAACGGCAAGAGGAGTTGGGAAAAGAGGAATTTTCTTTCAACGGTAGTTAAGCTTTTACTGTATGCAAAACCTTTAGAAGAGTCTCGGAGTACAGCGTAACGGACAACTACACGGCGAGTTACTACATGGGAGCAAATATAGGAGGACGGAGCGCAGATTTTCCAGCTCAGATCAACGGCGCTGGAATATAAACATGGATGACGGGCAGCAATGATGGCTTTAAGGAATTGAGGCCGACTCGCTTTCTCTTTGTTTTTCTTTGTTAAAGGCGGATGATTTTACATCTGCGTTTATGTTATTGGTAAGTTACTGACCGTTACTTTGTTTTTGTATAACGTTACTAATTTTGTAAACTGTGAACAAAGTAATCTAACAGTTAACGAACTCTTACAAATATTGTCGACGTGTAACGTTAACGTTAAATTGAAAGATGAAGACTGAAGACAGCAAGCATATTATAAAGTGTTTTAAAATAAGAAAATGGTCGTTTTAAATATTAAAAATGGTTTAAAACCCACTTTTTAATTAAACCCCTATGGTTTTCTTTCTCCGCAGTCACTAACGTTACTGTCTTTCATTGTTCTTTTCATATACGATGAACACATAACTCAACGTTGTAACATCTAGAATATAAGTACATCATCTAGCGTTATTTCATCTATAAAGAACACAAAACGGCTATAAAATGCAGAAGCTTTAGCAAATATCGAGAAAACTAAATATAGGGCTTTTCAAAATCATGAAGAGACCTTTCAATCTGGTGTAAACAGTGGATATGTGAAGTAAACATTAAGACACTCTTCAGTTCTTCATACTCTCTTAAAGCAGCCAGATTTACCTTTGACGTGTTTTGTTAAGTTTATAGTTTTATTTTAATGTAAATGTGACGCTTATTGATTTTTTGTGCTAAATTGAAGTTAGCACAAGTCATGAACAGAAACCATTACTCTCAAACTAAAACACTTATGTTTATATAAAATTAACATATTCAAAATTATCTGTGTGTAAACAGTTCAGTTGTGTTAACTTTGTTTCACCTCTCAGCAATTATGTTTACACACTCAAAGTACACATTACATGCATTTTCTGGCCTTGTTTTGGCTATTTTTTAATAATAATAATTCAACACTAAGTTTCAGATTGCTGGAGAATACACCAGTAACTTATATCTGTATCAGCCACGGGAATCTGTTTCATTAAGAGTAATGTAAGTTAACTACAGAAAATGAAGTGAAAAGATGGAAAACTAGTTCATGTGAGGTTGGTAAAATAATTTTATTCTGCAACTATCCCTTGGTAGTTTTATTTTTGGCCCAACACTTTACAGTAAGTTCTTATTTATTAACAAATGAATTATTTCCTTGGATTAAGCTGAAAGAAAATGAATGGATGAATGAATAATTATTTCATTAAAAATATCAACTAACAAAGAACGGTTTATATAGTTTTTAAATAATAATAATAAATAAATAAATAAATAAATTAGACATTTAAACAGGTTAGATTGCCTAGTTAATTAATATTTAAATTTAATCTTAAATGAGTTTGTAAATGCTAACATTACCATGAACTAAGAATACTAAATTCTGTAGGATTGTTTATTGTTGTTTCATGTTATCTATTATTATTATTATTATTATTATAAAAAGGTAGCTGGTTCGAGCTTCGGCTGGGTCAGTTGACATTTCTTTGTGGAGTTTGCATGTTCTCCCTGCGTTCTTGTGGTTTCCCCCACAGTCCAAAGACATGCGGTACAGGTGAATTGGGTAGGCTAAATTTTCCATAGTGTATGAGTGTAAATGAGTGTGTATGGATGTGGCGACCCCAGATTAATAAAGGGACCAAGTCTAAAATAAAATGAATGAATGAATGAATTATTATTATTATTATTATTATTATTAGTGAATGAAACCTCATTTTAAAGTGTGTGTTTTTTTTAAATACCTCATTTATTTTCTTCATTTAACTCTCACTAAAAATATTATGGCTGCTCAACCCTGAAACACAGGTATCCTAATCTAGTTTTTGAGTTAAAATATGAGTTGGGAAGGAAGCTCAAGAAGGCAGAATTAAAGTCATCCATTTCAGTCTGTTATGCATACACAATAAAAAGAAATGATTGCTCACTATTTCTATTTTATCGTAACTTTGTTTTATTTTTTGATTGCCCACATTATTTTTTATACAGAAATGATACATGATTATATGGAAAATATTATTATAGTTTTTTTTATTATCCTTGCTTTCGTCTAATTTGTTTTTATAGCATTTCATGGTTCCACTACATCTCATATCACATTCTCAGCATATTTGTTCCTCAAATTTTTAAAACCATTACTGATTTTAGCACCTAATCTCTCTGATTTAGCAGCTTTTGAGACGTGACGTGCCATTGGCTGATCATTTTGGGGAGGAAATTGTGAGCATGGCTCCTGGCTTGCTCGCCACAATGGCTCCTGATGGGCCCAACATCTCCTGGCTCCCAGACGCCCCTCTGCTCACGCCAGAGCAGCCTATATTCCTGATGACGACCACAGCCCAGGCAGTGTCAGGCTTTTTTGTGTGGACGGCACTTCTACTCACCTGCCACCAGGTACCTAAAGTGTCATAAAACCCCCTATCCCAACTGTGTTCACTGTCAGCTGCTATAATGTGGGAGGGTAGAGTGTAGAAAGAGGAAGGGGTTAAATAAAATAAAAAACAACAACTAATTTGCACGTAAGCAAAACAAAAACATGCACACTGGTGTGAAGGAAAGTGCTGCCGTGAGTAACCACACTGTGATTTTGTAATTATAATAATTTTTCATACTTAATAGAGTACAGTGATTCAAACCAGCACTTTATAATAAATAAGTGTTGTCACTGAACTGGAATTCGTTTTTAGTCGGTACTGGAATTTTAAAAACATTCATTTACCACTAACATTTGAGCGCTGTTGAGCGTGTTCTTAAACACCGCTGATTTGCTATTGTGTTCACATGCTCAGCAGAACTGACTGTGATTGGCCGTGAAGGCCATCAGTTCATCGATCTCACTGCTGTTGACTGAGTGTAACCACAGCGACAGGGACATTGGAAAAGATTCAATCAATTCATCAGTGGGCCGCTCATAGACAGACCAGCTAATTTTTGCAGCTTTAAAACGCTCCAGTGTCCCTGTATCTGTGGTCATGCTCAATAAACAGGGGTAAAATTCGGTGAACTGATGACCTTCACGGCCAATTAGCAATGTTTATTAACGCGCTTAACAGCGCTCAAATGTAAGTGTGAAATGAACGTGTTTAAAATTTCAACTGTACCAAATTCCAGTATTGTGACACACCATAATAAATATGTTTGTGGAAACACTCAAAGCCAGATGACATAATGCATACTCCCTAGTCTTGGAGACATACACCATGTCCTAACTAACTACATGCAATGCAGTGTTGTCACACTCCATAAAAGCTATTTTCTTCAAAGGAATTCTTGTTCTAACACCCATGATAAGATTATGCAAAGTTTCTATTTTAGAAATGGGTTCTGTTTCTGTATTGATAAGGCGGAAACAAGAGCATGAATTTCTATGACAACACTGATTGTGTTAAATGTTTCCAGTCAAAAAGTTCGCAGCTTAGAAATTTTACAACCCTCCTCCTCCGTCCAAAGCCACTCCTCCTTAAGCCATGAACATGTGAACGCGCACTGATTAGATATAACACTAGATCATGTCAGTCACTAGTTAGAAAACTCTTTAGACAAGCACTTTATCAAGGCTAGTTGTTGGCAGGCCAGCGGTAGCAGGAATTACATTTCCCCAAAACTTTGTCACAGGCTGTCACTGTTCAAAAATGAACAAATGTGTAAATATAAATCAAACTCCACTTCAGTAAAGCTGGTTAGGCGGAAGAGCATATTTACTTATGTTTTGTTATTCAACTAAATATAAATTAGATCAGAAAAGGGTGAGTGCTAAAAACAAATATCCTGTCATCTTTTTACATTACACGTACAGTATGTTTATGTTACCAAGACAACGAGTGACTTTTCATTTTCAGTTGTGCTCGCCGATTCTCGTACATTGCTTGTTTTCTTCTCCTCTTACACTTGAACACCTAAACGAATGCTCAGGTCTATTTAACCGACTGTATTATTGATGCTGTAAAAGGTACTCCATGAACTTGAAAATAGCCAATCTTTTGCTGGACGTTTTCAGTGGCTGAACAACACTACCATGCAAAAACCCATTCATAAACAAGAACATAGTCTACATAAGCTTTGCGTGGCTAAAAGAACTACTTCAGCCGTGGTGTCATCCTTCAGATCTTTGTTTTGAACTGCATATCGTCATTTCCCTTCAGCATGCAAAAATAATGATATTAATTCAGGGTTTTGAAAAGTTTTGATTCTGCATTTTTGGCAAAAGCCCTTTCAGAAACAATCTTTCTCTTCATGCATACAAGGTTACGTTGGTCTTTCAGAAAGAAGTTCAGGTTGATGCAGAGTTTGCAGGATGACGTTTCTCACTCTGTCAGCGGTAGATCCGTGCTGCACGTTTGTGCGCGAGTGACGTATCTGTCTGCGTAAAGGGGCTGCGCAGAAATTCAAATTTAAATTTGTTGACAGACAGTTTGAGTAGCCTGTCGAAATTGAGTAATTTGCCGGTCCGACAATATTTAATTGAAAGAACATTTTTTAGTTTTATGCCTTATCCAGAATATAAAAATTCTTAAAAATACATTTAGATCATTTACTTTAATCAGCACTATTGGAATGTGAAGATACTTTCAACCAGCACAACAAACATGTTTCTGAAGACAATCACCTACTGCACCTTTAATTTAACTTATTTCTTTTTACAAATTTAAGTGGATTGAACTTAAAACAATGAAGCTGTTCCCCAAAAACTCAAGAATTGTGTTTTAGTTTAAGTAGTTTAAACACACAGCACAACATTTGGAGTGTAGCTTGAATTTTTGACCACCATTTTATGTGACATTTAATTAAAGCAGCCTCACATAGTTTAACATGATCATTAAACTCAAATTGCAAACCAGCAGCAGTAACTCTTTCTGTAACTTTATTAATGTTAATGAGGTTTAATATTATTATTAAATTATTTTAAATGTATCTGTCGTGGCACATCTGGTAAACAAATTAACAAATAAACACCTCATTTTGTTGTTTTTTTCATAGCTGAAAAAAAATTTACATTTAAAAATGAAAAAAATAACCAGCTTTCACTTATTTATGAGTCATATTACTTTTTTCACTTATGTGTTTTACAACCCTTAATTCAGACTGTTTGTGTATTTCAATGTGTTTGACAATTGTTATTGTTTTTTTTTCAGATCTACATGCATTTGCGTTATTACAGCTCTCCTAAGGAACAGAGGCATATAGTGCGAATCCTTTTCATCGTACCAATCTATGCCTTTGACTCTTGGCTCAGCCTTCTCTTCTTTACCAATGACCAGTACTATGTGTACTTCGACACAGTCAGGGATTGCTATGAGGGTAGGTTCTCCTTCTTTCTGCTGTCTTTGCATGGGGAGCTGTAAACACGACACCTTTATAGCCCTTTTTCTAGCTGAGACCTGCATGAGCAGGTCTCTGGATCTGCGGCCTGCTGGGAGTTTCAGAAGCGATTGTTGCATAGTAACCATGTTTATGAAGCATCAGTGAAGCAGATGCACATGGATAAACTAAAAAACCAGGGGCTCGTTTGACACCAGACCAGTACAGCGAAGGGTTACTATTTTAACTGAAAGTACAAACGTCTTTTTTTTTTTTTTTTTTTAACACATATAAGGGGAAAATATGGAATAATAAAGAAAGAAAGAACAGAATAGAACAAACATCTGTTCAGGTGGATTGGTATTTTGCCTGGATATCTACCTGTAGAACACAATAAATAAAATACTCCAGACATTATTAAAATATAATAAATCAAGTGAATATAACTACAAAGTGTATATAAAGGTCAAATTTTGAAAACGTATCTCACATTTCAATATTAATTCATGAACATAACAATGTGTTTTAAATGATAATTAATACTATAGATTTTTACCCTTTAGTGGACAAAAATGACTTATTAGTTCTAATAAATAATATAAAATTCTAGTTCAACTGCATTGTAAATTAAATATAAAATGAAATTCTATAATACATTTTCTAGTATTACATATTATTTAACAAATTGTCAAAGTCCAAATGCCATATTATGTTTAATTTACACATACAGTTGAAACCATAAGTTACATACACTCTAAAAAAAGGAACATAACCATTTTTTAAAAATGTCTGATGGTAAATCATACTAAACATTTAATATTTTAGGTCTGTTAGGATCACCTAAAGAATTTACGTTTGCTAAATGCCAGAATAATAAGAGGATTTTTAAGAAATTTTTAGACAGTCAAAAGTTAACATACATTTCCTTGGTATTTTTTTAGCTTTGTTTTTAAACTGTATAACTTTGGTCAAATGTTTTGGGTATCCTTCTACAAGCTTCTCACAATAGTTTGAAGGAATTTTGGCCCATTCCTTCTGACAGAATTGGTGTAACTGAGTCAGATTTGTAGGCTGTTTTGCTCGCACAAGCTTTTTCAACTCTGCCCACAAATTTTCAATGAGATTGAGTTCAGGGCTTTGTGATGGCCTTTTCAAAACATTCACTCTGTCCTTAAAGCACATTTTAACTAATTTGGCTGTATGCTTAGGGTCATGGTCAGCTTGGAAGAGCCATTTGTGGCCATGTTTTAATTTCCTGGCTGACGTCTTGAGATTTTGCTTCAGTATTTCTACATAATGTTCTTTCTTCATGATGCCATCTGTGCTGTGAAGTGGACCAGTCCCTCCTACAGCAAAACAGCCCCACAACATGATCCTGCCGCCCCCATACTTCACAGTTGGTATGGTGTTCCTAGGCTTGTAAGCTTTCCCTTTTGTCCTCCAAATATAACACTGGTCATTATGGCCAAACAGTTCAATCTTAGTTCCATCAGACCACAGGACATGTCTCCAAAAATGATTCTTTTTCCAGTGTAATTTAGCAAATTGTAAAAAAGCTATTTTTTTTTTTTTTTTGTAGTTGATTCTGGCTCGTTGATTTTCCCATGTTGTCACACAAGGAAGCAGTGTGTTTTAGGTTTTCCTTAAAAACTATTCTACAGTTGTGCATCTAGTTAACTCAAATGTTGTCAATTAGCCAATTAGAAACTTCTAAAACCTTGACACCATCATCTGAGTTATTTCAGAGGCATAATAATCTTATTGTATGCGAACTTGACTTTCAAGAAAAGTTGTAGCAATTTTTCAAAACAATCTCTCTCTCATTATTCTGCTATCAAGCAGAACAGAAACAAATTTGATAATCCTAACTTACCTAAAAGTGAAAAGGTTTAGTCTCATTAACATCTGACTTTTCTTTTAAATGGTTTTGTGCCTTTTTATACAGTGTTTGTAAACTTTTGGTTTCAACTGTAAACAAAATCTAGTTTCCCGAAAGACAGTCAAACATTTTCACCCATATTTTGACATTTTATTTACACAATAATTTATTGAAACATTAAGGAAGATACTTAAGGAGACAGTTAATTAGACTTAAACAATTATTTAATTTTTCAAGTGTAAAATGAGATGAAAGACCGTGTTACGAGCGCAAAAACTCCATAGAAAATACTGGAGTAAAATAAACTGTCATATTTTAAACATATGGTGGCGTAAAATGGAATTTAATGCAGTGCTTTTTGTCCAGTCTGAGACTCACTGGACAAATCAGACCTTAAACATGGCAGTTTTATAATGGAAATACAGTTCACTGGAAGCACTGAGGCTGGCTGGCTGACTGAAATTAAAAGTCTGTGTGCGTATACCCTATTGCATTTAATGTTTTCTCAGTATATAAAATTAGTTTAATGTGATGCAGACAGAAAAATGGGATATAAAACTGTCAACTATGACTAAAACAAATTTTGTTAATGAATAATTTAGTTCCATGGCAATATTCAGATATCTTTTTTTTTCAGATGTTGTTTTGGGCGTTTGTAGTGGGAGAGGGAGACTAGTTAGCTGTCGTCACATTAACTAGAGCTTCAGCTGCACTGTGGCAGTCCTGACTCAGCAGCAACAGCAAACGCTGAAGATCAACTATGGCTGCAGGGTGAACGTGTTAAATATAGAGAGCAGCTCTGACCTTCAGTGTCACACGCAGAGAGAACAAATGAACACTCACCGGGGATGCTGAATATTGGCTCAGTTCAGTTGCTTCACAAACGCATTTGTTGAAATGATCTAATTGAGTCTCTGAAGTGTCGTACTGTTTTGCTTGGTTTAATAGAGCCCCACAGCAAGGTTCTGGAAGTAAAAATCCTATTCATTTATTAAATGAAACTAGAAGTTTTAGAAGAAGGCACAAACACTTTTAATGACATGGGATTTATTTATTTTTTCAATATCAATACTACTAGTAATAATAAAATTAAATAATTATTATACCATGCATTTAAAACTATTGTTAGTAAAACAAAAATTACAAAAATATTTTCATGCCATTTTTAAGTAATGAAATATGACTATTTTAATAATAAAAAAAAAGACTTCACCTGAAGTTTCCATTCATTGTACTGCATTTCTGAGAATCCTGAATATGCATGATAACTTCATCAAAAATTAAGCAGCACAACTAATAGTTTTTTATTATTATTATTTTTGAGCATCAATTTATCATATTACTATCATTTTTGAACAATCATTTAGCACAGAAGACTGAAGTAATGCGGTTTTGGTCATTTACCATTGCTGCCATCTACCAAAATGTATAAATAGTAGTTTAAATAGTAATTATTTTAAACTGTAATTATATTTTACAATTTGATTATCCCTTTTAAAATATATTTGAATCCAGTTGGTTCAATTTATTCCTTAGAACTCTTGAAATACTACAGGAATACTTGAAATTTGACAAAATACACCAAGGCTGTTGGAATGTAAATGTTCTGATGCTTCTAGTTTAGAATATTATGTGGTATGCTTATTTATTTTTATGGTAGTCTACTTTTTTTTTCCTCCTATGGCATAGTCAGACCATCACGAGGGATGTTTCACCATGCACTGCTCTACCATTGTTCCGCAAAAGTCTTTTGTTGGTTTGGTGAAACACTGATAAGGGGATTTAGTCAGAAAGGTCTGCTGTTTTTGCCCTCCAGTGCACAGTTCTTCTGCTTGTATAATTCTTTATGACAAATTATTTTACTAAGCAATTTCAAAGAAGGCGGTTCATTCCACTGTGGTGACCCCCAGGGCTGGATTGGGGCAAAAAATCGGCCCTGGCATTTTGGGCCAGAGCGGCCCACTAAATTCAATCAAAATGCTATCTATCTATGCACATCCAATATTTTTATCAACTCATATTCTATAAAACACAAAAGCCATATATATATATATATATATTAAATAAATAAATTAGTAAATAAATAAATACAAACTTTAATCTCAATTTAATTTCTGTATACTGTCCATAAAGATATTTGTTGAGTTCTAAAAAATAAACTATTCATTCATTTATTTTCTTCACATAAGTCCCTTATTTATCAGGGGTTGCCGCAGTGGAATGAACTACCAACTATTCCAGCATGTTTTATGCAGCAGATGCCTTTCCAGCCACAACCCATTATTGGAAATCACCCATACACACTCATACACTACAGCCAATTTAGCTTATTCAATACACTATTCACTCAGCCTATATTCAATAATAAACATAACAAAAACTGCCTGCTAATGCATGGGTAAATCTTCAAAGGGAACAGTGTACTTTATAACCTCTTTCACCTCATCCTGCTTGCTGTTTCATTATCTAAACAATCAAAACATAATATAAGTCAAATTTGTTTCATTTTGATATTATGATTAACAGACTCCAAACAGCCTTGTGTAGCTGCATATTTATATGAGCATCATCTTCACTCTGCATATTTATAATAAAACAGGGCTTAAATATAACTGCCTCCTTTCATTTCCATTGAAAAGAATGAACTTTACCCCATCTCTTTTGCAGAATATCAGTTTTAATAATCAATAATGGCCATTATAACAGTATAACGTACATTAAATTTAAACGATAAAAGTAAGCAATCAGTCAATGTGCAGAATCAGTGTACGTGGTTACATAAATTAATATATTAGCTTATCTTCGCACTCAGCCAAAACAGTTAACTGAGAACAAGTGATTCAAAAGACATAAGAGTTGTTAGATAGAGACAACAAGATGAATTCAATATCACGTTTAACAACTATAGTGAGATGAGATCATCCAGCAGATGAACTGTCTGACATGCACTATACTCTCACCTGGGGTTTATGCTCACCCACGCCGAACTAGTGGCTGCAGCTCTTGGCAGAGTGTGCATGTGTGTGGTCACGTGATTTGCGCTTTTAGCCGTGTACTAGAATGAACAGAGAACTTTCCAGAATCGCTAAATGAAACGCCGGTGTATTTCCCGGGATTTCCCTGCGCCTCCCTTGCGTTTCTTCTCTCTGACTCTCGAATATTTTGACAAATACACACAGACGACGCACGCTCATACAGAGCCCAAAATAGGAGTTTGTGATTGGGCCAGCCCAATGTCAGTATAGAAAAGAACCAATGGGCTGCAGAGTGTCACATGGGCCGGCCCGGTCTGTCTCTCCGGGAAAAAAAGCATCTACTTTCAGAGAGTCACAGATCACAGCAGCGTCAATTAATAAGGCAGAAGAAAACGATAGGCTGCTAAGCCTTTTATGGGCCGATCAGATCATAAGACGATGATCAGCCCGGCCCAAAAAGTACGTCGGCCCACCGGGAAAGTGCCCGGTCTGCCAGATGGCCAGTCCGCCCCTGGTGACCCCTGATGAATCAAGGGACTAAGCTGAAGGAAAATGAATGGAAATTTCTGCTTTAAAGGAGTATATCACCTAAATTTTCCCTTTAATTACTTACCCTCCACATCTGTTCATCCTTTGAGCACAAAAAAAGATATTTTGAAGAATGTAGGAACTTGGTAGCTGTTTACTTTCAAAGTATGATTTTTCTTACTATAGATGTTATTGACTACCAGTTTCACACATGCTACTAAAATATTCACAACCAAGAAACTCAAAGATTTGAGGGAGTATATCATTCAAAATTATTGAATACATTTTCAATGTTTGGGTGAACTCTTCAGGGTTTCACGATTCCACTATTGTTGAATTAAAAGCAAAATCAAGCTTTTAAGTTTTTATGTGAGATCTTGGAGGGACTGAGTACCATGATAGAATTGCAGTTGTAGGGTGTTGGATGATAATTATATACACTTTTCTTAATTTTTGCAGCGTTTGTGATCTACAACTTCTTGAGCCTTTGTTATGAATACCTTGGAGGAGAGAGTGCTATAATGGCCGAAATCAGAGGAAAACCCATCGAGTGAGTGTATTCTAATTATTTTTTTGTGAAAGTTTTATTGATAAATGCCTTTAAGGCAGGATAGGACATTTGTTTCAAAAACATTTTTGTTATGCTGCTTAAAATTCTCATTGGATCTAAATAGCACTCATTAAGTGGTCAAATGGATTTCTGTATTTGAAGCAACTTTAGAAGGACCAAAAAATGTCATCCAATCAAAATGTTTAGTCTGAACATTCAGTTCTTACCTGCCTGTCAGGATGTGGATTTGCATACCTGTGTGCATCATTCGTGCAGACAGGTCCTGTCATCAGCGTTGAATATTCACCAACTGCAAGTACATTTAAAACAGCAGGGCGCTCGGGGCTTCATCATGCTGCTGGCATTCTAAAAAAATGTTGGATTACATAACTACCATCAGAATCATAGTTGACATCCACATTCTGTTTTTGCTGGTTTAAATGCATATTAAAGGGGTCATGAATTGCTTTTATGTTTTTTTTTTCTGTCCTGTTTTGACTTAAGGTGGATTGTAGACTCTAAATAAACACCCACTGGTGTGATTGGCTAACAGGTTGCATATTTCAATAGGACATCTGTGTACAGTAGAGTGCTATGACCTCTTATAGGCTAAAAGATCAAGGACATTTTGATTTCCCAGTTTATGACTGATTTTTATCCCAGGTGGAAAAAAAATAAAAATTATATATATATATATATATATATGATGGTTTTTGATTTTGAGACGTTGAAGTAATAGCTTTAAATGTTTTGCTGCAGGTCCAGCTGTATATACGGTACATGTTGTCTTTGGGGCAAGACTTACTCTATTGGCTTCCTGAGATTCTGCAAACAGGTTTGCTTATTAAATGCTTTGCACAGTACTAGCTAATATTTGTGACCGTGGACAACAAAACTAGTCATAAGGGTCCCATAATGGTTCCAAGGTTTGGAAATTAACATTTATATATCATCCAATATCTCGTTTCAAAATCTGGAATCCAAGGGTAAAAAAAATCTAATTATTGAGAAATTCAAAGTGCTAATCAATCTACATTTTCGTGAATAATCGAAAGTGCACTTATAATATTATTTTAAATACTTATTTTTTTATAAATGTAACATCTTGAAGGAAAGGAATTGTACAACATTTCTTTATTAAACATAATCTTCACTTAATGAGTTTGCTATAATATCAAAAATCAGTAACTTGACCGCAGTTTTGGCGCACAAAAAGAACTGTGCAACAAGACTGGTTTTGTGGTCCAGGGTCAAGTTTCCCCCTTTTTTAATTATTTATTTATTTATTTATTTTGAATAAGTTTGTGGTCCAGGGTCACATTTCCTCCCCCATTTTGTTGAGCAATGTGCTTGTTTTTTGTTTCATAGGCCACTTTACAGTTCTGTGTGGTAAAACCCCTGATGGCCATAATTACAGTCATCCTGCAGGCTTTTGGCAAATATCGTGATGGAGACTTCAAGTATGTGCTTCTCCAAAAGTGCATTTGCATGGGTGTATTCAAAATCTAAACCTTGATCACATGTTGTTTAAATTGATCCCACAGTGTTGCCAGCGGTTACCTCTATGTGACCATCATTTACAACATCTCCGTCAGCTTGTCGCTCTACGCTCTCTTCCTGTTCTACTTCTCCACTCGAGACCTGCTCAGCCCCTACAGGCCCATGCTCAAGTTCTTCATGGTCAAATCCGTCATCTTTCTCTCCTTCTGGCAAGGTCAGCAGATCTTCTGCTACTAAAGGTTTAGTTTGCTCACCCAAATGTGCAATTTCCTTAGCATTTTCTCACCCTCAAGAAGTTCTAGACCTTTATGAGCTTCAAAATTTTTTATATTTAAACAAATGTTGGTAGCCTAACCAGTAGCCATTGACTTCCATAGTAGGAAAAAGTGCAGTTCCACACTAAGAAGTAAAAAAAAAAAAAAAAAAAAGAAAAGCTCCCTAGTTAGGGATTTTGTGAATGTTTTCATTTTTGGGGAAAATATATGTTTAACCCTCCAGCATATTTCATATTGCAGCTCTTAATTAAACCAATTTAGACACAAAGGTCTCATGTGACCCCATTTTTTTTTTTTTTACTTTGTTTTTATTTATACTTGTGTAATGCTTTTATTTTTGTATTTCCTGATTTATTGTGTCCAGATGGCAAACTTGCAAAAACTAGCCAAGTCTTGAACTGCTCAGATAAAGGGTGCTTTCCCACCTGAAGACTTATTTTTGTTCTTGGTGCAGTTCGCTTTTACATGGCAAAGTTTTTAAATGAACCAAAACAGTTAAAACAAGTCACATGAGACCACTTCATCCAGGTGATCTCAGACTGAATGATTTTGTGCGGATCTGAGTGCGATTGTGAGTTTAACATATGCCAAAGAACTGCTCTCACTGGGCAAAGAAACAAGTTCCAGAACAAACATCTAGATGTGAAAGCAATCTATAGAGACCATTAAAAAGTGAAATCAAAAATAAATGATTTAGCCGCCCAAAAAGCTTTAAGATGCATTAAAGTCAAAATGAAAGCAGAGTTGACCCTCTATACTTTTAATGGCGTGTTTAATGATGACATTTTGTTTTATATCTATTGAATGCCAAAAAATACCTTTGCGCTTTTAATTATATCAATCTTGTACGTCTTTCAGGCATGCTTCTTGCCATCCTGGAGAAGTGTGGAGCGATTCCTCAGATCAGCTCTCCTGAGGTGTCTGTCGGCGAGGGAACTGTTGCAGCAGGCTACCAGAACTTCATCATTTGCATTGAAATGTTCTTCGCTGCTTTGGCTCTGCGACATGCGTTTACATACACAGTCTACATGGACAAACGCCTGGATTCCCTTGGTGAGCTTCATATCTTTTGCTATTTTTGTTTTATTTAACCTATACAAAACTCTTATTGGTGGAAATAAGTAAAACACACAGCTTTTGTCAAATGTTTGGGGTTTGTAAGAGTTATTGAAGTGTTTTGAAAATGTCTTATGTTAATCAAGGCTGCAATTAGTTACTAATTAGTTATTATTGTGAAATACTCTTTACTTGTTAATATTATTAAATTAATTAATTATTCACATGTAAATATCTGTTTAAAACAAATCCTAAACTTTTGAACAGTAGAGCTAAAATTTGAAGTCCCACATATTTGAATTGAAATTTCAACAAGTCATTCTCTCTCATGGCTGATTTTCTCTTTCCCTCTTCTGTCTTTATTCTGTGAATCATCATTCATATTTCAATCCATTCATTATATATGACCAATCTATTCTTTCAATGAGTTTCTTTTCTTTTTATGTATCGTTGTGCATCTTGATTTCATATTCTCTTCATTTCATTTGGTCATCTCTTCCACTCCTTTGCATTCTTTCTCTTTTCATTCATTTCTCATTTTCATGCTGCGCTGTAAAGGCCCTGTTCCTACGTATGGAGAGTACGGTAGGTGATCTTAACACCTGTTTCCTCTCTATTTTCATATTTAGGGACAGAGAACTCTTAAAGGGATAGTCCAGCCCAATGACATTGAAAATCACCGTTTACTCACTCTAAAGTGCTTCTAAATCTTTGGGTCTGAGACATTTTGAATAATGTTGGAAACCGGTAGTTATTTATGGAAGTCAGTAGGTACTGGTTTTCAGCATTCTTCAGAATATCTTCTTTTGTGTTCAACTTTAGTCAAATTGATTTGGAACAAGTGAATAGTAGGTAAATGACGACATATATATGTATGTGTATATACATGTATATATATATATATATATATATATATATATATATATATATATATGAAGAGTTCAGATGCAGAAACCTGCAAAGTGCTGTCTGAAATTTCCATCAAAAAGGAACTTTTTTTTCTTAGCTTCTTTTGTTTATGTTGAGATATTTCACTTGTATATTGATAATTCATATAAATATATGAGCAAGTCCATGCAAATGTCAAGTCTTCACCAAAATATGGGAACCATTTCTACATTTTTTGTGAATGCTTGTATATTTACAGTACTTTAGAAATACTTAAAAATGTCTCTGTCCATGTTTTTAAACAGTTTTTAAACTTTTATTTACCAAAGTCACACAAGTGGCATTTTCACATTGGTCACATCCATAACGGAGAGATGTCACATCCATAACAAACCTTTTTCCTCATAAATGCAAAAAATGTCAAATAAAACAAAATCAATCATTTATGTTCTATAGAGAGACATATTTTATCCTTTATCGTTGTTTTTTTTGTGTTGTGCGGTTTAATTCACAGAATTTCTATGAAGTATGTTGTATACTGCAAACTTGCACATCCAATAACGGTTTATTTTCCTCTTTTAAAGTACAAAAAATGCAGACTGATATTTTTCTGGTCCCTTAACTCTATGATCAGTTGTTTTGGAAAATATAAACAGATGTTTCAATATAATGTTAGCATAGATTTTCTATGTAAATTCCTGTTTTGAGTTTTTACTGCAAATGTCTCATCCATGACGCTGGAATTGGTCCCTTTCAAGGATTAGTTACGGAAAAAATGAAAATCCTGTTGTTAGTTTCTCAACATCATGTTGTTTTCATCCCCTGAGACCTCTGTTCATCTTCGGAACACAAATGAAGATCTTTCAGATGAAATCTGAGAGCTCTCTTATCCCCCATAGACTAACACATTGTCAACATTCCGTGTGACCTTCAGTGGTTCAACAAATTGTACAAAGCTTCAAGAACACATTTAAAATGATGCTCTAAGGCTTTGTTTGCCCATGTCAGATTAGGGTGTGCGATAACTTCTAGCAATTACAACACTTCTACTACTGACCTACTGACTCTAATGGCAATATGTTGTATTGTCCATAGTAAAGGTCCCAGTATACTTCAAACAAAATAGAAGAATGAACTAAATAAAGTGCCACAGTGGTGCTTCTTGTGCAGCAGGCTGGAGAAGGCTGACATGTTTATGAAGTCGTTCTTCACTCTCAGTCGCCATTGTTAGTGTTTTAGGGGGTACATGTGAGCAGTTTGACACATTTACAACCCAGCCTACTGCAGTACAAAGTTGTTGGAAGGTTTGAAAACAGGACACCATCAGTCAGCCTTTTGAAACTTATTTTTGCCCTCAAGTTAAGAACAAAAAAAAAAATTCTTTGAGGATTTTTGAATACAAGGATCTTCAACATGCACACTGAACTGTCGCTCTGTACCACTGAAGCCATATCAAATGTTTTGGCTGCTCTCTGGACTTTGAACATCTCATCAACATAATCATTTTTGCCGGAAAAGCACGCTTTGTCAGTCGCGTCTTTTTCAGTCTCCAATCAAATGAAAGCAGAGGTGGTGTTTCCGTTGAGGTGACAGGAGTGTTTACATAGTCAAGATGATTACAAAGATGGAAGTTGTCAATAAGCTTATTTTTATAGGTCCTATTGGTGTGTGCATCGTTGTGTGTATGGTTGTGAGTCACTGAAACTGTTATTTTGGGGGTTGCGAGCTGAAAAGCTTTCTATCTCAAATTTCTTCATTTGTGTTTTGAAGATGAAAGTCTTAGGGAATTAGATCAACACAAGCGTCAGTAACTAATAAAAGATCTGTTTGTTTTCCCTTTAAACTGTTAGTTTAGCCTTAAATAAGAATTTTTCTGTTCATCCACTTCTTCACTCATTGTGTCATTCAGCTCTAATCACGTTCTCTGTTCTTCTCAAGGTCGCTGTGCCCCCATGAAGAGCATTTCCAGCAGCTTGAAGGAGACCATGAACCCTGGAGACATGGTTCAAGATGCCATCCACAATTTCTCTCCAGCTTACCAACAGTACACCCAACAGTCCACGCTGGAGCAGGGGGTCACCGCACCACCCTTGTCCCGCAACCACAGCTGTCTGAACGCCCGCGACAATGAGAAAACCCTGCTGCTCAGCTCCGACGATGAGTTTTAACTGAGTAAAGGTACTCCACAAGGGACCCTCTACTGCTGCCGTAGGTCACGTTAACATAGAAACAGGTTATTAAAGGACCATTGTAGCTACATTTTAGAGCAATATAGTATAAAATAAAGCTGCTTATACTTGCTTAGTTGTAAACATGGACTTTAATGATGCGCTTTTTGCAATAATGTTGTTTATACAAAGACATCAATAATACATACGTTTGAACTTTAAGCCAATCTCACATGGTCTGAATCTTCAGCGTTTGAATTCATGTATTTTTTTACGCTTCTAGTTTTACATTTAGTGGATGTGTTTGGACATCCTGGGATATTTATAAATAGCAGTGTATTGGAGGGCCCCGTTTTTGGGGAATGTTTTTCCGTTTCAGATTTACAAGTTCAAGTGCACCTTTGCTTGTGTTTGGACAGTGTTTATAGCTTCCCCCAGTGATTTAAAGGGCGGGTTTGGTTTTGAATGAGAGAGTGCAGTGACGACAGAGCGAGTACCAGCTGTTTAAACACACACTTTGTTGTTTTGACGGATGAATCCAGGGACAGGGAGAGCTTGATGGTCTACGATAAGATTGGAGATTAACGCAGTCTGGATTAGAAGGCTGCAGTTGGAGCATTACTGGTCTGGTGGAGATTAGTTTAAGCTCTGGTGATAGTGTGATCTTCCTGGACCACTGCAGACAAAAAAAATCATCTATCTAGGTTAGCTGAGCAGTTTAAAAATAATATTGAGGTTATGGTTTTTTTTAGTGCATGCTAGATTTCCATATAAAAGCCATTTCAGTCTGGATGCTGTTTGGTTTTTTTTGTCTGATGAAAAGATTAAATTTGTTTCATTTGAACATTTCAAAGCCGCAAAAATGATTTATTCAATAATGATGTTGAATGATAATTTATTCAACTCTGTCATCACCTATTGGATTGGTTTTGCCCAATAATAAAAATATGCTTTTAATTGAGTCATTGTCAGGCCATCCAATATTTCAGTGGTTTTTTTTTTTTTTTTCAGTGGCACACAGGAGAAAAGGAAGAGTTTAGATGGTGATTCATCAAATGCAAGTCAAAGCCGTGCTGACACTTTAAAAGTAAAGAAAAAAAACATTTATAAGTAAAACTAAATGTAGTGATGCCTCATGGTCATGTGTTGAGGTTTTCTGAAGTGAAACAATCATTCTGTGCAAGAAAATACATTATTTACTTTATTATTATTTAACTCCTAGGCAAACAAACCTCATTATGTTGCGCAAACTAAATGTTTTACTGCTTAATACTTGAGTATATCATCAGAAGCCAATATGATTCATTTTGTTTTGCCTTTAAATGTCTCTTTTTTTGTGTGTGTCAGTAGCCATTAAAATTTGATTTATATCCGCATGGTATCATGTTAAATTTACTTAGGAAAAGTTTATCTACATCTTAATGGCCTGAAGTTGAGTAAATAAACAGTGTATTTTCATTTCCAGGTGACCCGTCTCTTGAAGACGATGACAGAATTTTATTTTGTAACATATTATTTAATTTTCAAGGAAACTATTCCTTCATTGTTTCCAGATAGGCCACAAGAGGGAGTCATATCTCACCTTTCACATCTTTATCTTTATGAGACACGCCTGTTATCACTGAACTTTAGAGAGCCACACCAAAGTCTCTCCCATTCTTCAAAAGAATCCGCCATTGCGCTTTACGTCTTCAGAAAGCACTAGGCCCTTGATGACCAAGCTTGAAGTGGTTGTGATTGGTTTGATAGCATCTTTGGAGTTACTGATTAACTGTCCTACACTTTTATTGGTACAATAGCGGCCAGTATAAACACACTGCAGCTGGAACCAAGTATGAGTATGAGTGGTACCTGCTTCTAGTTCTTACGTGAGTGTTTTTGCCGTGTATGAGGAGATGATCTCATTCAATAATATAGATGTAAACTTGCACTAAGCAGTTTTGCTTATTTAGAGGAAATACTTAATATTTTGGCAAGCTATTTCTATACTGTTGCACCGTATGTTATTAAGAGAGTGGTTTCATAACATAGGAAGTGCTGTTTCTATTTGACAAGAATATATATTTTGTGGAAACAAACACTATGACTTTATTTGTATGTGTCTTGCTGTTTTAAACAGAGCGTTGTGTATTATTATGTCAAAGATTTCCCCCCTCTGACTTAGGAAACAATAAAGAAGTTTTGGTCTGTATATATTTGTGATAGTTTTTTACTCAATGAACACGTGTAATTCTATGTACAATATATACAACATTTATTTCAATTAAATGATATAAAATAGACAATGAATTTACCATAGAAAAATACAGATAATAAATACAAACATTGTTTTTTGTTGTTGTTTTTTTTGCGCTCTTACAAAACATTCAGCACATTGTTCTGAAGCACAAGTGTCACGGGTGTGATATTACCAGGTTAGATTCTCAGTACTGATCATGACATCATCGCTAACTACACGCAATTAGAAAATCACCACGTTTAACATGGCCGATCATTACCTGATCATACAGTATTACCCCATTTACTGGAGAAAACCAGGCTTGTAGTTGTCAAGGTTCATCTTGACGACCACGGGTTAAATATTACGTACATGTGATATCATTTTTACCTTTCACTTTCCTTCTATCACTTTCTTATCCTCCTTTTTTCCATCTCATATGAACCGCCAATGCTCACTTCTCCTTCTGTCAGCTCTTCTTCCTCTTTCTCCTCCATTTTCACATCATCCTCAGATTCCCCTTCCTTTCTCTTTTCCTTTTTTGTTATATTCCAGCTTTCCAAAATATTCAGATACATTTTTTTTTCGATCATAAATAGCAAATAATATATATATATATTCATATATGGTCTTGGTTTTAAATACAAAAATACCACTACAAACAAGTCGCTCTAATATTAGTACAAATGTGACCCTCACACATACTGAACCTTATTACAAATAACGGGGCTGTATAACTTACCATTACGAACCTACCAACACATGACAAAAAAACAAAACAAACAAACAAACAAAACACAACAATTAAAGAATAACCCCAAACTAGAAGTAGTATTCAGACCAATCACAGCACAAATTACCTTTGTTTCAAACACAAATAGAATAGCTTTCACGTCTGCTGTTGGAACATTTGTCCTATTAATACAAACATTAAAATATATCAATTGCATGTATCGACAGATCTGCACTTTCTACTCCCATAAATCACAGAGATAATCCAGCAAAAAAAAGAGAAACAGCTTCTGAAATGTTGTTGGTCCCTCATTAAAAAAGACAAGTTTTACGACTATTATTGATCACGTGTCACCACAGTAATAATGCGCAGAATAAATAGCATAACGCTATTATTACCTATAGCTTTTTTGTGCAGATGAATACACTTGTCATTATATTTGAGGCCACAACAACAGTACTGAGAATATTCTTGGACATAATATACGACTTGTATACATATAAGCGAGTCTGTCTTTCCCAATTTGTACTTCCTGTATATGCGAGTATACATGGTCCTGTCTGTCTGTGCGATCATACTGTGTACCTAATATGTGTGTGTGAGGCGATGTTCTAGGATGCTCCTTCTCTAGGATTGTGCACCTGCTGTGGGGTCTTGACTATGGTGATGACGGAGGCTGTGTTCAGACGGGGTGTTGTTGCCAGTAAACTGCCACCTCCAGACTCCAGACCTCTGGCGAACCGCTGAAGGGCGGCGAGACGGGCTCCCAAGCCTTCCAGCTCACGCCGCATGCCGGCGTTCTCTGCCCCGAGCCGTTCTACCTCCTGCTGGAGCTCCTTCTTCTGCTGCTCCAGAGCCTCGCGCTGGGACACGCGCTTCACCCGGCAGCTGGCAGCGTAGCCGCGGTTCTTTAGCGTGCGCCGCCTCTGCTTCAGCTTCTGTACCTCCTCGCGAGACAAACCACGTAAGTGCATGTTGAGTTCACGTACTGACAGAGACATGAGCTCGCTGTCGCTCAGCACGGGGATGTTCTCTCCGCATTCCCTTTTCACCTGAAATACCGGACAAGAAAAGTGTTTTATAGCAGAAACAAGTTTAGAAGGGATGTTTTAGAATGCTACAAAAAATATCCAGTACAAATGTTTTCATCCTTTTTTCGTTTTTAGAATCGAACGACGGTAGTCAACATTTAAACTTTCATTGAAGTTGTCCTAAAAAGCATTAAACAACACCCATTCTTGGTTAAGGACAATTTTAAAAAACATTTTTGATCCACTTACATAAAATAATACAAAATATTTAAAGGATGGTTGACCCAAAAATCTAAATTGACTGACTATTTACTCAAGCAGTTGTAACTAGTGCTGCACAATATTGGAAAAATCTGATACTGCAATATTAAATTTTTTCTGCAATAAATAATGCGATAATAATACAGTTTCACAAGATGGATTGAATAGCTCTATTTGACCATTTACTGGGGAGTCTCATAGTACAGAATCACAAAGCAAAACAAAAACTATTTTCTTACTTTATTTTGTCTTGTTTCTAGTCCAAATATATATTTTTAAAAATCTTTGTTAAAATATTACTATTAATAAACCAAGTAAAAATATTAAGAATCCAAGTTAAAATACTGTTTAGTGTTCACCGCCAGAAGAAGTAAGAGAAAAGTAAGAGTTTTGTGCTTGTTTTAAGGAAATGATCTGCCTGCGGGGTAAGTGAAATAATCTTGTTTTCACTTTGAAATCTAGATATTTGGACTGAAAACAAGACTAAAATTCTAAGTAATAAATGTTTTTGCACATTTTCTATATAAATACAGTAATTAAATACAATTCTCTCCTGGTCATCTGTAATTCAGCCTGGACATTGCATCTCTTTGCGATGCGAGTTTGTGGATGTGCACATTGCGATTTTGATGCTGAAATTATATATTTTGCAGCTCTAGTTTCAACTATTTATTTCATTTTTCTGTTAAACACAAATAAAGATATTTTAAAAAACAAATACTATGGAAGACAATGGTTACCGGTTTTAAACATTTTTTTAAAAGATCTGTTCAAAAGGGGGAAAAAAAGCTCAAATAAGTTTGTGTCAAGTGAAGGGTGAGTAAATGATGACAAAATTTAATTTATGACTGCTTTGTAAAATTATTAAATTCAAATTTTCAACCCATTTTGACAAGTTTTCCTGAAAAATGTCAGCTATGGCTGTCAGCAAAAATTTATTTAAAAAAATAAAAACATTTTAAAAGTTTTGGGAATTACTAGATGTGATATTTTAACTGTATAAATCATCAAATGATAAAAGGTTAATGCTTTTAACCTTCTAATCTACTGATAACAGTCATGATAATAAAGGTGGTCAAAGGGAAAGCTACAAGATGAATCGGTCAAACATACAATGACAACATCATCAGCGTAACACACAGCACTAAAATAATGCAATAAATAACAACATGCATTAAATACAAAAATGCCCACGTACATTACTGGTAACAAAAATGAAAGAAATTCACATGCAGTGTTTTCACTTTTGTTTTTACCACAAAGCTATATATATATTTGACAGCTCGTTTAAAGTAAATTAAGTGCATAAAACAATGCACATTATTCAGTTTTTGACTATTTGTGGTAAAAATGACATCTTTTAAAGTGGATATGAAAGTTCATAAAAGCGAGTTCATTAAAATGATCTTTACCTTGAGGGCTTTACTAGCTCTGCCGTCTGAAGTCATTGTCTGGTTTTATGTGTCCCTGAAACCTGTAAATACCAAATAAGCAGATTAAGATCAGGTGAAAATGCCAAAGGCTGCTGTTGCGCTTTACACAATGAAGTGGCTAGATTCACATTGTCGCAAGTCACGAATGCCTCGCTTTTATAACACGCATCTAAAACAAGAACATTGGCAGCCCAGATCTTTTAGGAAAATGTTCATTAATTAAATTTAAGATGCTTGTTTTGTTAGAAGCTTTAAACCCTGAAATTAAAGGGTAAAAATGTTACTTTAAAACAAAAGTGGTTGGCTTTGCAAGATACTCAGAGATATGATGATTTAATAGTGTCCAATACATCGGTCTTTTTTCAGGATTACAGAATAAAAACTTTCTTTCTGAAATATAAATGTATTTTAAAGATTGTTTTTCTGTCAGGTTAATTTTTTTGCACTGACATATGCTTTGTAAGTATTTAATCATTAATAATTATTAGTAATAAAAAATTGGTCGATGTATTTATTTACATTTCACAGAATTGTTTAACAGAAGTTTTTTTTTTTTTTTTTTTTTTAATAGTAAGAAGAAAATGGTTCTTTTAAGAGCTGCTTGCTGAAATGGTTTTTGGAGAACCAAAAATGGTTCTTCTATGGTAGGGGTGCCCAAAATTTTGTTTATGAAGGGCCAAAAACCAAACTTGATTGAGGGTGGTGAGCCAAAGGTAAATATACAGTACCATTAAAGCCGCAATGATAATTTCCTAATGTATTAATTTAAAAAATAAATAGAATAAATACTTTTATCGTATTAATAATAAAATAAAATTCCATTTTATAATGAACCTGTTTCAATAAAAACATTAACAAACACATGTATAACACAATGGAGTCTTGTGCATCGCACTCTATATTTAAGTGACAGTATTGACATATTTAAGCATCTGATTCATGCACAAGATTTACCTGAAACATTTCGTTTCATTTGTCTTTTTTGTAGCTCAACAATTAAACAAACAAACAAAAGGTTAGGTCAAATTAGAAATGACAAGCTCTGTTAAAGGCATTCACCCCAACCTTCCTATCAGTCTAAATCTCTTCTCAGATGGGATTGAGAGACAAATCAAAGGTTACTATGGGAAAACTTTGGCCCGCTAGCCGTACTTAGGGCATCTCTGCTCTATGGCATCAATGTGAACAAAACCTTTATTTTTAGGAGCATTGACCCAAACAAGACTAGAGTAGCATGCTCTCAATATTGGCATCAGCCACCCATATATATCACATCCATCAACCTGAACAGGTGTATCATGTATGTTGGTTTTATAATGGCTTCTTCCATTTTAGTACAAACATGTGTATTATGCTCTTAATATCTGCACCAGCCACCAAAAACAAGAAATCACATCGATCAACCTGACCAGGGGTTTTCATTACTTTCACCACCTTGCTCTCAATAATGACATTGGACATTCCAAAATCCATATTGTTTCTGACAAAAACAGGTGTATCGTCTTCAATATGAGCATCAGCCAACAGCTATATTGGTAGATTCAAACTGATGTTTCCATAATTGAAATCAGTTTTATAATGGGACTCCACAAACTTTGTATCACTATTGGCTTCAGTCTTTTATAAAACTCCATATTGGTGGACACAGACAAGTGTATGACGTCATGACTGCTAATATATGTCTATGTTAGCACAGTTTACTGCCCAGTGAAACCACAAGACGGGAACTATCTGCTTATAAACGGACACAATGTGTGTGTATAACGTGGGTGGTGAACTTCATCTTTAAAACCTTAAACCGCCCTAACATATTTTTATTCCTCTAAACTAAAGCTTCCCGTATACAAACAGTAGCGCTTTTTTCTTGAGAGTGAATCATGTGGTCAAAGTCCAGCTGGAGAACTGAAGGCTGCTGACCAGGAGTTTCCCGTCATGTGTGGGAAGCGCGACTTTCATCATCATCATCATCATCACTATTATCATCATCATCCGCGAGCGGAGCTTTTCCACAGAGTCACAGTGATTCAGCACAAGTCCTCCATTCCTGTCCTCACAACAGCTCCGCACTTTCCCATAACATTTCGTCTTAGACATCATTTATAAAATCCCCAGTTGCTTAATACACAGAAGATAATGTTACTTACATAGAGTAGCTTACATAAACCCCAGGATACAATTTAATATACAATAACACAGTCATGAGCTGTCGTCATACCTTAAATAAGTATATGCTTTATAATAAACATTTACTTATACAATGACGAGTTAATATAGTGTTTAAAAGTAGTAACGTTAAATATATTTAGAACTCAATAAGGAATTGTAACGACGTAACAATTCGTTTATTACATAAGATAATGCTAACTCAAACCTTGCTGACTAGTCGTTTCTCGTCGAAAACAATAAACATGTTTAGATGTTTTGCTAAGTTTCTGAATATAACACATGCAGCTTTGTTGAAAGAAATGTATATTTTAACGATTTCAACCGACATCTAAGCAGCTAACGTTATTTCCTTATTATCGTTGCGTGTTAGCTTGTTGCTACAACTGACATCGTGGTTAAAAACAGGCTAAACGCGCTCGGAAATACTTGTACTGTTTAAAATGTGTAAAATAAACATCTAACTTCAACATGTAAGCTAAACAATAACGTTATCGATATCGTATATAACGTTAAAAACAAACACTGACGGCATGTACTATAGCAGGCTAACACCCCTCCGCTTCCTTAGTGTAAACAAATGTCGACACAAGGAGAAAAAACAGAAATTCTTGCCTGTTGTTGATTTCTCGTCTTTGCTGACCTCGCACGAAGGTGAATATGGGTCAGTTAACGATTCTCAGCGCTGGTCCGGTGTTTCGTCTGACACGCGTTATCGCAGCACGGCCGTGTTTGGACGGAATGGAGAGCTAAACGCCTTTTTTCCCGGAATCAGTCCACCATCAGCGGGCTGGATCCTTTCATTCATAAAAAACACACACACGATGACTCAAGGCTTTAAGAATGAGGGCGGGCCCTCAACACACAAAAATACCAGTCAACAACCTTGTGAAACTTCTTTTTTATTAACCCGTTTAAAGGGATAGTTCACCCAAAAATGACATTTCTGTCATCATTTACTCACCCTTTTACTTGTTTCAAATCTTTATGAGTTCATTGCTTCTATTGAACACAAAAGATTATATTTTGATGAAAACTAAAAAAGCTTGTAATTGACCTTCGTAGTATTTGTTTTTCCAACTATAAAAGACGATGGTTACAATTCCCCAGCTTTCTTCAAATCATCATCCTTTGTGTTCAACAGAAGAAAATCATAAAGAGTTTGAACACTATTTGCTAATAGTGAGTAAATAGTTAAAAATGTTCATCTTTGGGTGATCTAGTAGTCCTTTAAGTTCAGCAACATTTATATTTAAAGTCTAAGAAAAGTTGATAATGTAGTTTTTTTTTTTTTTTTACTAAAACGAAGAAATTATAACCAATCGATTAAGCCAGCGACCTTCTTGCTGGGCTTTCCAATGAGCTGCTCTCCAGTCCACTCATTTAAAACATTTGTAAAATAAATGTTTTCATTGTCATTTTTGATATTAAGTGTTGTTGATAAATAAATATATTCACAATGAAAAAAAGGATATTCTACATTGAAGATATATTTCAAAATGTTACAATTATCTTGATCAAATGCAGTCTTGTGAACTCTTTTAATGCCTCTTTCAAAAGCATTACAAATATTGTAATATTTTCAAATTTTTAACTGGTGATGTGTTTGTATCTTAAACATATTTTATGCAAGTTATTTTTCCCATACTTGAGTTTTAAAATCATTTAAAAAATTTTATTTAAAATGTTTAAAAAACGCATTTCATTGATTTTGAAGAATGATATCTAAGCTATAAAAGAAAGCATATCTAAAACAATTGATTAAACTACAGCCTACAAATAATATTTTAATATTAATGAAAGACTTCTCTTCTAAAGATATTGGTTATCTATTGATATTATTGTTTTTAGGAACCTTATAGATATTAAAAACGTTTCTTAATAATGAATACAACTTCTTTTTTCACACAAAGAACACAATGTAAGAACAGGGCATTTAAAGGTTCTTTAGAAACCATGTATCTTCTATGGCATTACTGCAAACTCTACTTTAGAATATATTTATATTTGGAGTGTATCATGATTATAACACATATATCTACAGTGTTATGTAAAAAAGTAATAGCCTATTACAATCTAGGCCTTATCTTAATACATACACACTCTATGTATTACTTTTCCTTAAAAGTTAATTCGTAGCACAATTAGCTATATTTTTAAAAAAGAGACTTAAGATTGTAATAAATAACTTTAGCCAACACTGATGATCTGCATTTGTGCTCAGCAGAAACACATCCTTATTATTTAACTAATCCACTAATTCAGACTCACATTATAAAACTGTAAATAATATAAAATCAAATACAGGTGTATTATTGCTTTGCTATTCATTCATGATTGTAATATCCATTTATATTTACTAATTGTCTTTATTATGTCACAGCGTATTATTTTTTTCTCACAAAGTTGCTGGTGTCTGAAATCCCCTCAGTAGGCATATTTCTCTTTTTTAAGGGTGAACTGACGTGATCTGGGTTCCTCCTTCCCTTCAGATGAATAACTTAAAACCCACGGGCAATTGTGTCATGGTGAGGAGCAATCTTCCATTATTTCATCGTCGACTATTTACTACCAAACAGGGACTGTTTTTTCTCTAGTATGAGCTGCCGTAATACCTCCATGCCGACAGGTGTCGTAACATATCGTGGTGCTTCCTTACAAGAAACCGGGGAAGTACATCCGTCTCGCATGTAACCGAAGTGACCTCAGGTTTCAATGCGTGCTGCCTGGGTCTAAATCATAGCGAAGCTGTAAAACACCACCGTGGTCTTTTCACAATTATAATTTAAAGCTTAAAGTTGAAAGTGTTATATTTATAAATGGCTACGATCCAGGAGCTTTCTCCAGACTCAGGCCGTGTGGAGACGCGACCGCCCGAAGACGAGATTGAGGGAGACGATGAAGACGAGGAGGTATTAGACTCATTCTGGAATTTGACATGATTGTAATTATAAAGGCAGGATGAATGGGAATGAAACAAAATTATATTGGTGTTAGCATTGGTTAAATATAGCTATGTAACCGACCGTACTTGACACGAAATCAAGAGGCTTAAGCTCTTTTAGTAACGTATTTGTAGCACATCATTTACTTCAAGGGTTGTTCCTGCACAAGTGGAAGCACATATAATTATGTAATTTATTTCAAATATATATATATATATTGTCAGGCCCGTAGCCAGGGGGATTTCTGGGGGTTCGAAAACCCCCCACTGAAAAGGTCCAGAATTTGTCCCCGATATGAGCTAATTTGTCCCATTTTTGACAGTATGCGAACATAAATTGTGAAAACAATCGATAGAAGAAGGCTTTTAATAAAAAATAAAAAAATCTGACTAAAAAATGAGCTGACAATTTGTTATGTACCTAAAGTTTTCAAAACGTTTTTTTTTTTTAAAGTTTGAACAGATTCCTAATAAGTTTTTTTATGATGCATGATGATAATCTTGTATTTTAAAAAAAGTACTTTTTCATACTTTCAAAAGTATTCAAAATTCGTAATTTAAAATTTTAATCTCATAACATTATTTATAAAACTGTAATAACTTTTAGACGCTCAATAAACAGGCTAGTTGCACATTTCTAAATTAACGTTTTGTGGTAAAATAGTATGGTAAGCTCTGACAAAACTGTAGAAAATATTTTTGTTGCATCAAAAAGTGTGGTTATGATCACAATGTGACAAGCCAATGCAGCAAAGTGCATTGTGCTTAAAATGTCACTAAAATGCAGTATTTGAACCTCATAATTTTTATAGAAATTGAGGAGAATAACTGCAAAAAGCTCCTCTTTTAAAGAAAAATAAAACCACCTCGTTCAATAGGCTGACTACTGGCCTGATTGTTCTTCTTTACATTTGTCAGAGGCGAAAAAGAGTTTTTAAGCATCAAAGCGATAGAAGTGTAAGCCTTAAATGTAGGTCCCCTGAAAGTTAGAATGTATTATGTGTAATTCAGTTTTAATGATGAAAGAAAATACATTGATTATACTTTTAGTAATTGTAATAAAATAACATGTATTTTACATTTATTTATTGGTGGTGAGAATAAATGTTGTTTCATTTTATACAGGCATATATGTAATGCTGAATAAATATAGAACATAATTGAATAATTGTGAACTATTTAGTTTGTTTCTAACTTAAAAGGGTAAAAGTAAGTTTATAAAACGAAATCAAAATATTTGGCTGCTTTCTTCTATGAAATAAATGTAATTTTAATACTAAAATATATTAAATAATGCCTATTTTTAATATGTGAAAACTAAATTGTCTTATTTTTGTCTTAATATTTATAATTAATTATGCTATCCTTTTTATCCATTTATATAAACCTTTTATCAAACAAGGTATATATTTACACAATGTTTTAGTTTTCACATTCATTTCACTTTACCCCTCACTACATCCTAATTAGATTAAGACTTTATTAGGGCTTTAATATTTTCTAATGTGATTTTTCTACATTTCTTTTTCTCCAGCTGGATGAAACTATGTTGGAGAGGTTGTGGGGACTCACAGAGATGTTTCCAGACTCAGTGCGATCGGCAGCTGAAGTTTCCGCACACTGTTCGCTGTCTGCAGCCAAAAAACTTTACAGGTGTGTTGATGGTAATTGGTCTTACCCTTAAACCATTATTTTTAACACTGTAAATCATCTTTATAGGCTACATAATTTTTCTCACTGTACGTTTTATAGTTTCTCCCGTGCAGCTCTATGGGTTGGTACTACTTCCTTTATGATTCTGGTTCTGCCGGTTGTCTTTGAAACTGAGAGGTTACAGCTGGAACAGCAGCAGATACAACAGCAGAGACAGGTGAGTAACTATAGACGAATTGCCAACCTATGTCACAGATGACGTCATGCGGGTTCTCAGTTGCAAAAAAAAGACCGGATGCAACAGTAAACATGTTGTGTTGTGCGGTTGGATGCCAAATTCGGCCAAAAATAGAAAACTTAAATTTTGTCGTACACCACACTACTTTTAATGCCAACTGCAGACATCTTTGGCTAACAGCCATCAGAAGAGCTGAGGACCTTATTAAAAATGCTCGACTCTGCAGTTTTTATTTCATATTAGGTAAGTTCACGCTATGCTGAATCAAAAACATTACTCGTTTTTGATTGCAGCAATGAGTTTAGCAAAACGGTTACATATGGTTAATTAAATAGCGAACACTGATTGCTAAGAATGAAATGTGAAAGTGTAAGTTCACATACTCTGTCGTACAGGTGAAGTCCGCTGCATGTCAGAATGCAGTAGTTTTACTTGTTGATGATAAGCCAGTCCTTGTACAATTCTGTCTTCTTTCCTTGTCTTTGGCTGGGCAGAACTTCGGTTTTTAGCACTACATAGTGTTGAATCTGGTAATCATGGACCATTATTTCTTGCACATGACCACGCAGAACAAAACTGTCATCCATAGACTTGTAGGTCTTTAGCTTCTCTCTTCTAAAATCACTTGGAGTTTCTTGAGATTGTGTATTTGTGGCTGGATGCTTGGTCATTTCGTCTTATCCAAAATCCATTGGGCTAACGCAAATGAACCTGTCAGACGAACGCTGCTCACTTTAACATTAAGTGAAGTTTATTCATAAACTAATTTCAAGAGGATCACGTGCTTATGATTTATCACGTCCAGTCTCGTATTTGCTAATCACTAATCTTCCAATCATATGAGCCCTAAGGCACCATAAATAGCCTCAGTTTTCAGTTCACTTTATCTTCGTTTGGAAGAAACCCCCCTCCTCCCCTATTCTCCTCCTTTACCTGCGATTGG